GGGAAGGCAGTGAGTTCTCTTGGAGACGTGATGTGTTCCTGGTGACGCAGTGAGTTCTTTTGGTGACGTGATGTGTTCCTGGTGACGCAGTGAGTTCTTTTGATGACGTGATGTGTTCCTGGTGACGCAGTGAGTTCTTTTGGTGACGGGATGTGTTCCTAGTGACGCAGTGAGTTCTTTTGGTGACGGGATGTGTTCCTAGTGACGCAGAGTTCTTTTGGTGACGGGATGTGTTCTTGGTGACGCAGTGAGGTCTTTAGGAGACGTGATGTCTTCTTGGTGACGTGAGTTCTTTTGGAGACGTGATGTGTTCCTGGTGACGAGTGAGTTCTTTTGGTGACGTGATGTGTTCCTGGTGACGCAGTGAGTTCTTTTGGTGACGGATGTGTTCCTGGTGACGCAGTGAGTTCTTTTGGTGACGGGATGTGTTCCTGGTGACGCAGTGAGTTTCTTTTGGTGACGTGATGTGTTCCTGGTGACGCAGTGAGTTCTTTTGGTGACGTGATGTGTTCCTGGTGACGCAGTGAGTTCTTTTGGTGACGTGATGTGTTCCTGGTGACGCAGTGAGTTCTTTTGGTGACGGGATGTGTTCCTAGTGACGCAGTGAGTTCTTTTGGTGACGGGATGTGTTCCTAGTGACGCAGTGAGTTCTTTTGGTGACGGGACGTGTTCCTAGTGACGCAGTGAGTTCTTTTGGTGACGGGATGTGTTCTATGGCGACTTAATCCGTTCCCGGTGACGTCATGTACTCCTGGTGGCCTGCCGCTTGTACCTGGTAACACGTTATTGAGCAATGGGCCACGCCTCTTGCCAGTACAGGAAAGAGGGGTTAGGTTAGGTTAGGTTAGATTGGTTTAGGTTAGGTTGGGTTTAGATTGGTTTAGGTTAGGCTAGGTTAGATTAGTTTAGGTTAGGTTAGGTTTGATTGGGTTAGGTTACGTTAGGTTAGGGGGGTGGTTCATGGGGTGATGACTCAACCTACCCCCGATTTTCTCTTCAAGGGACGTGTTGTTTACAGTAACTGATGTCCTGTTGATTTATCTTATACACATAAACACGTGTTCTAAAGCCAACTCGAGATGTGTGAAGCGTGTTGTTGTTTTTGTTATTGTTGCTCTTGTTTTTGTTGTTGTTGTTGGTGTTGTTGGTGTTGTTGTTGCTGCTGTTGTTGTTGTGCTGTTGTTGTTGTTGTTGCTGCTGTTGTTGTTGTTGCTGTTGTTGTTGCTGTTGTTGTTGTTGTTGGTGTTGTTGTTGCTACTGCTGCTGCTGTTGTTGTTGTTGTTGGGGTAAACATGTTGTTGCTCAGGCGTGAAGTGAGGTATATTACCATAAGTATATCAAACACCCAGAAATTACTTAGGTTTTGTTAATGGTCATAGTGTAGACTTTTTGCGTTAGTGGTGGTGTTGTGTGATGGTGGTGTTGTATGGCGGTGATGGTGGTGTTGCATGGTGGTGATGGTGTAGTATGGTGGTGTTGTGTGGTGGTGATAGTGGTGTTACGGCGTGGTGATGGTGGTCTTGTTTGGTGGTGATGGTGGTGTTGTGGGGTGGTGATGGTGGTGGTGTATGGTGGTGATGGTGGTGTTGTGGGGTGGGGATGGTGGTGGTGTATGGTGGTGATGGTGATAGTGGTGTTACGGTGTGGTGATGGTGTTGTATGGTGGTGATAGTGGTGTTGTGGTGATGTAGTAATGGTGTGGTGGTGGCGTGAAAGTGCCGTGGTGTTTTGGTGGTGTGGCAATGCAGTGCGACGGTGGTGTGGAAGTGTGGTGGAGTTGGTGTGTGATGTTGATGTAAGTTTATGGTGTTGGTGTGTGTGTGATGATGGTGTAGGTGAGTGGTGTTGGTGTGAGTGTGTGGTGTTGGTGTGAGTGTTGATGAGGGTGTAAGTGTGTGGTGTTGGTGTGAGAGTGTCTGTGTGGTGATGATGTTAACGTGTAGTACTGGTGTGGGTGTACGGAGGTGCTGGGTGAGGAGTGAATGAAACAAGCACCAGGACTATCGCCGCGCCACGCAATTGTACTTAAATTATATACTTTGAGACTTCTATTCCTCGGCTTCACGTATATCCCCCCCCCCACCCCATACTGCCTATACCTCACGACGCACGTAACCTGCCCCTCTCATTCCCACTCTTCTTACCACAAGACCTCTGCCCCCTTTCACTCCCACTCTCCCTACCTCACAACTTCTGCCCCTCTTACTCCCACTCTCCCTACTACGCCGCAACCTGCCCCCTCCACGCCTCCCCCCCCACCCCCCATCCTCGCCCCCCACCACCCTTACGACTCTGAGCTCAGGCTTTTAATCCGCATTAATCTGAACATCTTGAGGCTCTTCCCCATGTCGAGGGCCTCGTGTTGGAGTTGTGTTTGTGATTGTTTTGTGTCCGAACTTGTGGATTTTTCGGGTGTTTACAACAGTGTGTTTGTTTCATATTGTCATGGACGATATACTCAAACATAAAACAGGAATCAACATCTTAACTTTACTGTAATTTTACCACACACACACACACACACACAGACGAGTGAAATTTCATCCTTGAAATAGCAGTCAAGGTCCCTCTTGACGGACCCCAGAATATAATGGAAAGAGAATTCGTAACCAGTGACAGAGTACACTGAGGTCAAGTGTGTATATTAACTACACTATAGTTTGTTTTCGTATCAAGTATTTACGTATGGAGGTGTTTAAGCATCAGCAGGGGCCGGATACTCAAAAACATTTATGGGACTGTATGTCTTTGTGTACCCCGTAACTGGACTTACAGTCTCAGATCTGTATACTCAAAACACCGTTGGTATACTCAAAACAAATATTTGACATCGAACTCCGTAAGTTAAAGCGCATAACTTACACCAGCCCCTGAAGCTCTGTAATACTTTCAACCCGGATGTAGTAGTCACTAATTCCCGATTGTATAAAAAATAATAATAATATATGTTGTAATAATGCTTGTTAGAATTGTTTTATCATAAAATAATGAAGAAAATGTTTTGTACATCAACTTACTGAAATTAGTATTTCAGTTTGTCTTTTTCGTAAAATTTTTGTTGCAATAATACGAGGCTTGAGTGTTTGTATTTGTCGCAGTTTGGAAGAGACACATCTTTTGTCTTCTTACAAATTATAAAGTATTTTTTACCAAAACAGAAGGTTTGTATTGTTCACACTTAGGGTAAAAATATGTTTTATGACTGAGTAAACTTATAGATAGACCTTATTAATGTTGTATAGCCGTAAATATCCCTCAGTAATGAAAGCCAAATATGAGGTGAAGTGAACATTCCTGCCTAGACTTCGCCTTGTTTTTCTAATATGCAAACAATAACCTAGCCCTATTTTCTTATGTATATGGCTTATGATAACATGAAAGGCTCTAAAGGTTAGCCAAAATTAAATGATATGCGTAAAATATGGATTGCAATTAACTTGATTAATAGGGGCATACAAACCTCCATTTTCATTCTTAGGCCAATAAATGATTAAACGTGGGGCCTACTCAATGTAGTTATAACATGAGGAATATTTAAATAAGAAATTATACCAATAGGTTATAGGTTAGGTTTGGTCATGTTATTTTATGTTAGGTTAGAGAATGTGTACATGGTTTTTTTGGTGAGTGTCAGGCTGTCAGTGAGACACTTTGTCTCGCAGCTACCTTAGGTCTAGTTCCAGACTTTTCATGAACAGTATCATAGGGTAGAGTATTAATTTAAGAAAATTTACGGATAATCAGATATATTTTCAGGTTTTAAATTGTTGTTTTTTGTATGAACTTGAAGACAATTCAGACCAAATGACCCAAACATTGAAAGGAAAACACCATGTTCTAGGCTAAATTTCCCTAAAATTATTTTCTTTCTTTTGGCGACTTCACACACCATGGCGCATACTTCAGTCTCACTGAAATTTGGTCGTTTCTTCAGGTGGTTGTCCTTCCATCTATTGTTTACAAACTAATATCACGTGCATCCCTCTCAGCTGATTTCTCCTTCTCTTGTGATTGGTTGATGATTTTGTTAACTGAGCGCTGATTGGCCAACAACCTCCTGCACTGTCATCTACCTTCCGACAAGAGAACTGAATTTACAGGGTAAACACTAGAGTTATGATAACTTACGGACTGCTTAAGGAACTGTAATTAAATTTTGAGTATGCTAAATTTACGGGACTGTGAGGAGTCTGCAATGTATGGTACTGTATCTCGCTACAGGTAGGACCACGATGGAGCCTCCCTTGTACTTAAACACTTAGACTCATCACTAACTCATACTTCCAAACTATTTTATTTTACTCACCATCAACTTTTTTATTTGGTCATATCACTCATGTATTGGGTTTATAAAATATATATATGTCATTCCCGGGAGTTGGAGGCTGGGATACGGCCATGAGGGGAAGGTATTAATATCAGGTTCCACGTCTGGGCCAAGGTGACCCAACCCCTCTGTGATCTCTCCTGGACCATATTTCAACCCTCAGTCACCTCTGACGTGTGTGTGTGTGTGTGTGTGTGTGTGTGTGTGTGTGTGTGCGCGCGCGTGCGTGCGTGCATGCTGTTCAATAATGCATTTTATTAAACAGTGCTCCAGTTGTGTGACGTGTGGAGACCACCAGGGTCCAATGACCTAAAACTGACAACTAATATGTCAACATTACACAGTTATCAGTGATATCACCCAAAAGAATTATTGGGATAGTACTGTATAGAATAACACTCGTCGCTCACTCCACGGAACTCGCAACTCTAAAACATGTCCGCGCATTATCTTCAATCCTGGCTGGTTCTTCTCCACTCAAAAGAGCTCAGCCTGATTTTTTAACGAAGGAACTGAGGAACTTCGGGGTTATATTGTGTGTTCGGCTATTTGTAAACGCATACATTCCCTATATTAAAGCTTACCTACTCCATTAATGAAAATATTCCCTATGTCAATGTTAGTTTAATACATTTGCTTGTTGTTATACTGACGAGCGTCTTTGTGTGCACAGGGCGAGCGGCAGTACTGAAGAAGACATGGCGCGGTTGGTGAAACAAGTGAGCATCGAGAGCCCGACCCACAAGCTCAAGGAATGCATCTTCAACTTTGAGACTCCCATGCCCGATACCCCACCAGCGGGCGCCAGGGTCAAGGTGCGTCACTCACCTACTTATACCACTTCACAGTTCTGAATTTAGCCCACATGCAAACACTAGGAAGCACGACAATTCTACACTACTTATACCACACACACTACTACTTGTATACTCCTATGTTTACCATACACTTTCTTGAAAAACACACACCCTTATCCATCAACATCTTACAACCTAATTTAACATTTTAAAAGCTTCCTAACATTAAGGAACTATGTAACTTAAAATAACATAACCTAAATACTGTATAAACAAAGATAAGTTAATCTAAATTGACACTGCCAACTAGTCTTATTTAGGTTAAACCCTATCCAGTCTCAAATAACCAAAGCTAGTCAATGTTAACCTACTGCAACATCTTTTAATAATTATTTTTATTATTATTTGGTTTATATTAGTGTTTTAGTTAACTGCAGTATTCCTAACATTTGTAGCCAACTGTTCTTGAGATAAGATGGCACCTACAAGATTAATGAGAACTATACTATAGGTGCACCCTTTCCCCACCTGTGTGTATAAAAGTGATAATGACTGAAAACTTCCTTTCTACAAAAAAATAACTGTTCTTCCTTGGCGAACAACACCTATCCCACCAGCCATACTTTCATCAGTATTTAATGCACAAGTTATCCAGATATATTATCCACTGACAGTCAATCACTGAGGCGCTCCATGTGAAAAAAGGGCGAGCCTGCCATGGGTAAAAAAAAATCGTTTTCTGTCCAGATAATTCAGTTCATCCTCTAATACTAGACTGACATCATGTGGTGGGCTCGCCCCTAATAATTCGAAAATCCGCTTTTGCATACAAGGCTTTTGAGACCACGGAAACTTTTGAACCCAGTATCTAAAAATGTTATACAAGTTCGCCAGTAAGAACGTGAGTCAACATTAGCAGTAAAAGTCGAGTAAACTGTCAGGATGAATTTCAGGACCTGGGTCAACATGAGGTCAACATAGACAAGTAACAAGGAAAGTCATCGCATAAAGATGACGCAACACACAAAGAAGATAACTTAGTCCGCATGTTGATGACACAACACACAAAGAAGATAACTTAGTCTTTTTTCTTTTATGTCGTTCATTTAAACTATGAACTATCAGTGTGACAGACTGATGGACGGACACATGACTGGACACAATCAGAAACAGCATGTCCCGCTACAACACTTCGTATATTAAAAAAAAAAAAGCCAAGTTTGCTGAAGGTGGGAGACATCACTGACCCATATAGGAACACATGCACTGGTAGGCCCTTTTTAACATTTGACTACAGTAGCTCCAGAAACTTACAAACATACTGTACTGTAATATGAAATTGTAAGCTGAACAGTCAGTTGGTGGATTTGAACGAACACAGTGATTGACCTGATGATGCGACTTGCACCAAATGACTGGACTGTAGTGAGACAGCCAGGCCAGGAATCACGCAGGTCATACTTCAATCACAGTACAGTACCTGTGAATTATGTGAGAATGCACCTAATTGGCTCCCTTATGGCTTACACTATAACATACTGTAATGTCAAAGTGTCATAGAAATTAGCTGTACTGTAACTTGAGTGCAGGATGTCATTCCCAGTGAAGGAAGAAAAATAAAGACATGATAGAGAATCGGGCAGAACCCAGGTGAGGATGATGCATATACACATCCAGATTGTCACGTGAGACACTCGTGCTCACCGACTGGTCCTTCATGTACCCGGGGTATCGGAGAGATTTTTACCTAGTTATCTCATGACACCGTGAACTTTTTACATTGGACCAGTACATATATCACTCACCATGACACCTTTAACACTTTCAGTTTTTTTTTAACTTCTTTACACAAATGCTGTACAGTAAAACCATCATCTCGTGAGCGGACGTGCATCATGCGTTTGACACGAATTATAGCAATATTCCCAGTACTGTACAGTATGAGGCAGTTTGGATTAGTGAGTTGACACCTACTGTCCACATGATCCTCTTGATAAATAATACTGTACAATATACTGGTAATGTAATCGATGAGCAAAGGAGGAAAAACTACAGAGAGCAATGATGTCCTGGTCTGACATTGACCTTAACTCACAGCAATTGTATCAGAGAAGTCAATTGCCAGGCAATAGTGTTTGGAAACACTGTAAAGTACTATATACTGTACGTGAATCTGTACTTGTTATAATTCTGAATAAAATTTTTTTTAATTCTATTCTGCTACTGGGTGGGGAGGATGGGGACCAAGCTGATGTTAACTACCCATACGATATTATTATTATTATTATTATCTGAGAAGAACTAGACTTTGCCAAGCCCTCTAGTGCATTTGGACCTTAACTGGATAGCAGCTCTCTTCTGACACATCAAATACAGTAGACTATAAGTACAGTACTCCATTATACTTGCAGTGGCTTAACAGGTTCTCTTGATAATGTTACTAAGTGATAACGAGTCCAATAAGGGATTGTACTCTAACCCTGCTAGAGTAACTTATTTTGCCTGGTTGCATGTATGATGAACATGTTAATACGGTGAAAGATTACATGGCAGGTGCTTATTTGTAATTGTTTGAACCATTTTCGAATCTAATATGTTGCAATAGATGCTGAAGGATAATTCTAATGTTTTATCCCTGTTTACTTAATAGCTAGTCATTTCGCAATTACCAGCATCTTGCGTTATATCACATTAACCACTTTCACTTATATTAGAGATGGAAGGAATTAATCCACAGCCTTTCCTACCTCATTTTTTTTTAGTTTAGACGCCCCATTCAAAACTGTTGACAAAATGGCCTACATGCAATTTCCATTTACAGGTGCGCAATGCTGGTGTCTGTTACCGCTTGAGGTCAGCATCATCATCATCAAGCATCAAGTCAGTTGAGGCACTGCACTGTGGATCTCCCCTTCACCACTCTGTCAGGGATACATCACTCTTCCCTGGCTATGAGGTTGGTCTTAGTTCACTACTAAATCCCACTATTTCACAGCATATGCCATAATTTCTGTATTAATATTTATGAACTGTAATTTGTTCCTTGTGGTCTAATATTGTTTGTTACAGGTGGCTGGTACGGTGGACGCGCTGGGGGAGGAGGTCGGGGAGACAGATCTTCAGCTGGAGGACAGAGTCATTGTTTACCCCTATGAGGGGCATCCTCCTGGGTATGCTCCCACCTGTTCATTATCCTCCATGTTGTACCCAAATCCCTTTATCTTTATAAGTTTCAGGCCGAATACAGTATAATATTTAATAACTGTCACCTAACAAACACAACAGTATTAATCAGGTTACCCTAGTTTACATTACCTTTAAGGTCAGTATGATAGCTTTAGCAAGAGTACCAAATAATAAATGACGTTAAACTGATGAAGTGTCTCAGATCTAACCTGATGCTCTTGTTCATATGTTTCACTTTTGTCTTCAGCATCTGAAAACTTTAACATTTTCAGTATGAATGTACAGTACTGCCCATGTCACAGAGTCCATTTAAAGTGTAAAAATTATTCCACCTTGACATTGTAATTATCATATTTTTTATTATGCTTTGTGTAAATTCTTTCTTCACCTTGCAGGTATGCTGAGTATATTGCAGTGCCTGAAGTTCAGTACTTAATCAAGGTTCCTGATAACATGAGTCTCAGCACAGCTGCCATGTTGCCCTCTGGTGCATTATGGGCTATGAATACAGTATTTCATGCTCACCAGCATGTAGAAAAGGTGTTGGCAGAGAAAGGGGAGACAGGTGAGTTGTACAGTGCTGTACTGTTTTAAGTATCACATTTGCCAATTGAATATTAACTGTTCAGGTACTGTCTGCCCATACATACTCAGCACTTGCCAGCACTGCATAACAGGGAACTGATCGACCTCCTGACTGGCCAGTAAGCTGGTAAGAAGCAAAGAGGATTTAGGAAAATTAAAGCAAGAATATTTACCGTATTTACCTAATGGCAACTCAAACTAGAGGTGGCCATGCCAAGGGAAGAAGGCCAGTGGCTTGTTCTTGATAGCCTTATCAAGAGCTATATTGAAGCCCAGTACTGTGCTGTTTTTTATTCTACAGCTTTAGCTGATGAACTCTTCTATAGCTCAACTACCTTGTGTGTATTTTGGCAAGCATGAAGTTGTATTCCCTTGTGTTAGTGATGTGTGACATCATAGAAAAATGCCAAATACTGTACAGTGCTGTATGTACAGATTTAATATGCAAGTTACATCTCTGCTTTAAAGCATCTGATTGGTAGCATGATGGTTCCCATCCTAAGTGATTAAATTACTAGACTTGGTAAGAACCAGTGGAGTATAGAGAAGATACAGTATTTGATACTTTACCTTATCCTCATTAGTCACTGATCGGCTTGTTAGCGACATGAGCATTCAGCCACGTCTCTGTTACGCACTGATGACAAGTACTGGGCATGTACTGTCTCCAGAATGTATCTGTACCTGTGCCAGTGTTGATCAAGTCTCATCTTATATGAGTTCACACTTGCTGTTGTCACAACACTCTCTGGCAGGATATCCTAAGTTCATAACTCTCACTCCAAAAAGGTTTGCCCTGACCACTTTCTGAAGTTGTAGCTTCTTTAACCTGAGGCTGTAACTCTAGTGGGAAAGGCATCAGCTAGCTCCAGGTATGAACACTTGACTGAGTACCATAATGTTCTCTGAAGCACTTAAACTTCTATTAAATTACCCCTTACCCATCTATAGTAGAAACTAGGTACTGTATACAGTATAACTGTGTAAATGAAGTCAATGTATGGTAGGGACATAAAGAACCTATACATTTGTAATATTTTCCCATTAGAAATCTATACAATACTTTATCTTTTAAGTAAATCATGAACTTAATCATGACTTTAACAAGTACAGGACTGAAATTCCATGAAGAAAATGTTACTGTATGTCATTCTGATATTGTTGTAAATTCATGAAAGTTGTTGTTTCCACAGGACAGTGTAAGCTGTTATTGGTGGGCACAGGTGGCCTTGCTCTTTGGGCAATGAGGATTGCCCGCTTCTACTGGCCAGAGAAAAGAGAGCGTATCAACATTAATGTGGCTTGTCTCAGAGATGAAGGGATATCCATTGCACAAGAATATTTAAAGTAAGAGACATCGGAAAAAAAAATTCCATCACCTTTCAATTACAGTACTGTAATTTTTTCTTACTTTTTTACTTTACATTTTCCAATTATTATTTTTTTCTGGTGGAAAAAATATATGACAAGTGATTCTATTATAGGACAATACATAATTATGGTGATTTTAATTTGTTTTTAAATTAAAAGTTTAACTTGTGTCATTTTCACTTCAGGGTAAATGTTGTCCAATGGAATGAAGACCTTTATGAGGAGCAGCTGGTTGAGCGCACCAAGGATGCCTGTGGAGGCCCAGTTGATATTGTCATTGACTTTAGTGCAACTTCACGATCCATTCGAAGGGCCCTCAAGTGCCTGGCTCCTGTGAGTAATACTGTATTATTAAATACTTCTAATTAGTGTTTTATTGAATTTATCTGCTTTATAGACTTACTGAAGCAGTAATTGTATAAAGTATAATAATAGTACTGTAATCTATACCATGTGCAGACAATTTTCTGCTTGTTAGTAATTTGGTGATAACCAGATCTTCCAATGAATACGGACATATTTACTGTTCTGTACTGAGAAAAGGAGACAACAGTTGGTCCCTGTAAGAACTCCATCAAGTCTAATGCAATAAGTCCAACTGAACATTTACAGTGCCATATAATTCTGATGTGTGTGAAAGTAGCTAGCACAGTACCTGTAATAGTATTGATTAATGTGCAGTCACATATACAGGTAGTCTGAACTTGTGCTCCACTATTACAACTCACACTGTATACTGTATTGGCATCTTTACTGGTTAAAAATGAGTCCATGATCTCTTGGTAGATGAGGCACAGGACAGTGCCAATTCTACATATACAACTGTAACAGAATAAAGTAACTGTTGCTCTGAGATGAATAGGAGTCCACAAACAGTAAGGTATTTTTAAGCAATACCTTATCATCTGGGGTGCAGCAGTCAAGTGGCTACTACGGTCAACTCGTCGTATGGGTTGCTCATTTCATCCCAGAGCATCCCTAGCTTTACAATTAGGGAAGTTAAGGCATAGGATATTGTACAGTACAGTGTGCTGTATCCACAGTCCCATACAGGTGTCAGATCTATGGAATCCAGTTTCACTTGTTCACGTAATGTTTGACTCTTCTGTAATAATTTAACAGGTCAGAAAAAATATTATAACTAGGAGCTTTATAATAAAATGTTATTTATTCTTACAGGGTGGTGTAATGTTGATGAGCTCAGAGCACGCTGAGGGACTTATTAACCGCTTTGGACCTGTTGCTGAAAAAGAGAATCACCAACTCATCCCCATTGAGTTTGGTACTCTAAATCAACTACGGAATCTCGTACACCTTGTTTCTAATGGAGAGGTAAGAGAGAGGGGAATTAAGTCTCACTGGCTAAAATATCTTAAGCTAAGAAAAAATGAATTGAACCAAGCCACATAACTACTGCTAGAAAAACACCTTTCACATTGATCTTAGTTTGGAAGCCATGTCATCTCTCCAGTTATAGCAAACCATGCTACTATGTGAGCCTGAACACCACATTAATAAAAAGTCGGTTTAGCAACCGAGAGAGCATAAGGATCATACATTACACACAAAGGCATTATGAAACCCACACAGAAAATATTTATTTTGATGAAATTGCCTTTTTTATTCTTAATCATTTTGGTGTTGAAATTTTTGAAAATTAATTTCATATCTGTGAATGTGAATTTTCATTTCATACCCAAATTTAGTGGTTATAATTCACAAATTCCCTAGGGGCAAATTTCTGTGACCCAAATGTTCATAACATGGGATGACTGTAATCCCTTGATCCTTTTGGTGGATGTTAATTATATTTGTTTTCTTTTTTCTAATTGACAGATTGAACCTCCACCACACACCATATTCTCAGCTGACAGAGCCAACGAAGCCTTAGCTAAAATTGGACGAGGCCTCATCCCAGGACGGGCAATCCTAGAGTTCCCTGAAGATGATGAGGAGTCTGAGGAGTAAACTCATTAACAAGGATTTTATACGATACTGAAAGATGCGTAGAGGATGGATGATAGAAGCTTAACAGTGACCTTCTGAGACATTCCCTCATGGGGGCACCCTTGATGTGAGGGTTGTTGAGCCTCATGATGCAGGCTTAGTTTCTCTTCCTAGCACCTCTGCTTCAAAGTCAGGAGGTACTCAATAAATAGTTAGACTTCATGTGGTACAGAATGCTCTTTTTACTTTAATACTGTATTGTAATATGGTTTGAATTTATCAGCAGAAGAAGTCAAAATTTGAAACATTACTGAGAGAGCTTCCTGAACCAATTTTGGTGTCTTACAGTGCTGAATGATTTACAGAGAGGTTACCCAGTATGTACAGTACTTGTCTGAAAAAAGACAATTGACTAATTGCTCTGGCAGGGATATAGTGGCACTAAAAGTAAATACCGGTGAAATATTAACAGTTCTCAGAAACTTCATATTGTAGACAACATCAAGACCTCTTAAGGTACTGTACATTGTTTTCAATACTTTTTCATCACTGCAAGAAAGGCTTATCTCAGTCAAAATGATTTCATTAAGGCTCAGGTCTTCTTAATGTTTGTTCTTCCTTTGGCCATTGCTGCATCAATTATATTACTGTTCTCATTACTTTATATATATATATATATATATATACAAAAATTGAAAAAAAAAACTTAAGTGTAATTATAGGTACAGTACATAAAAAAATATATATATAGCTTTTCTTTCTGAATGTGGCATATATAAAGACTTTTCAGCTTTGTTATTTGGTAAAGAATAAGCAGTCATTGAAATACAGTACAGGTACTGTACTGTACCGTACTGAGGTTAAGGTGGTTAGAACAATCATTTACTGTACTCATTTATGGTTTTTCTTTAATGAAGGATTGACCATGAATATATTATCTGACAAGGCTGTGATAAAGAGGCACTTGTATCACTTTAAGAATGCCCATAAGATCACTTGCATTTCTGTTATCCCTACCTATCTGTACTATTGTGTGGAAGTGGCATTTGCTGAATTATGAAATTCAAAACATGAAGGGTTTAGCAGCACACACATGCACACACAAAAGTTAGGTTTAGGATGTACTGTACTGTAACAAGTTTTCACATCCCACATTCTGGTACTGTACAGTACAGTACGTACTTTAACAACAATAGTGGACTGGTTGTGCCAATATCCTCAATAAAATTTTATTATACAGTGATGCCTCAGGTACAAGGCACTTGTATAGTTACTTATTTTAAATGTGACATTTTTATTATGTGAAAATACGAATATGTTATATATTTACAAATATAAAAAATTATACAATCCAACAACTCATTCACCAAGTGGATATATATCCAAGGTCTGTGTGTTGACTATAAGTAAGCAGTTAACTAGTAAAGTTTAAGAAGTGTGTGTTAAAATATATCTATTCATTGTTTTTACTGTACTGTACTGTATAACAATTGATGTTGGCATTACTCAACAGTGAGAGCATTGCTTATGACACAGCCGCCTTATAGAAGCTCCACAGTGCTGGTCATTATTTGACCCGCTTACTTCTTGCAGCACAAGAGCCTTGTGTGTTATATAGACTGTGGCTAAGTTCCTCGTGGCATAAGTTACACAAGTCTGCAGAATTGAGCCCATGGTGGATGAGGCTCATAAATGTTTTTGTCAGAGAAACAATACTTGATGTTTGAACAGTTCTTAAGTTTTATCTTAGGAACCAATGATGGAAATGCTCATTCAGCATCTCACCTCATTATCCCTTGACAAGGTATATTTTTCTTGACATTCCTTAGCGTGATCTCTTTAATATACAAGAACTGTTGCAAATACTCCAAGTTTTCCTGTCACAAAAGCATAAGCATCAACTTTACTATGTGTGTAGCAGAGTACAGTGACTGTTGTGGCAGTGGTGACTTATGTGGTGTGCTGATTTGGCCTCATAATACTTGGTTAGTATATTAGGTGTAATGAAACTCATCACTGGTAAAGGAGACTTCCTCGTAACCGGAGAAACTCATTTATGGTAGTTCTCACTTGAGTGAAGTAGGAGTGCTTCTTGCACTGTACAGCTAAACCTCTTAAAGTCAAACCTCTTCAGGGGAAGAAACATATTTTTTTACTTGGTTTTAATGTAAGTGCCATGAGCAGTTAACCAATAATCCTAGCACAAGATGTCATATAAATCACAACTGCCGGATATAAAAATGCAAGGTAAGTTATTAACAAAAGTATTTAAGTCATTGGAATAATATATCAGAGGTTTTATTACTGAGGCCATTGTGAGTGTCTATGGTTATGGCTATAAATTAAGGCCATATACTGTAATTGTCTTTTCTCCCCATAGAATATTGTACACTGTCTGTATATAAATGCATTGTCATAGATTTTTGGAGTAAAATTATTTCAGTTTATATAGGGCCTATATACATATACAGTATACTGTATAAGATTACTAAAGTTTATCAGAATATTATGTATTATACATGTATTAAAAATAATTGAATGCTGTATAGTCTTAATAAAAATGCTGCCCAAATGAATGTGTTCTTGATGATCAACACCATTAATCTAATAGTGTACTGTACTTAGGTATGGGTTATTATGCACAAGTGCAGCATGCACACACACTCTCTCTATATATCTCTCTCCCTAAAGACAAAACTGCTGAACAGTGTTATTTTTAAAAAAAGTTTAAGTTTTCATGTAAATTACATTTAATCTTCATCACTACAACAAACACAAAATAATCTAATGCAACCTTTAGTAAGATAGGTCACATTAAGCTACAGTAGAAATGGACAGCATTAAGTCAGCTTGGTTACTTCATCAGCATTAACCACATTTTGTTTTCTCCAAAAAGAAAAAAAATGCATTCAACAAAGAATTGCATCACCCATTTCAGTTTCATCAACAAGCACAGCCCAGTACAGTACTATACAGTATATCATCCAATTCACATAACACAATACTGTACTGTACCATCTTTCATATTTTGTTTCTTCCCTTACAGTGACCTCTGGTTCTCCCAAAATACTTTATACAGTATTTACTTTATCCTCTTTGCCACTGATTGGCTTGTTGCCACTTGGACAGTCAATTACGTCTGTTACGCATTGTTGGCAAGTACTGTATACTGGACATGTACTGGCTCCAGGATGTATCTGTACCTGGGCCAGTGTTGGTCAAGTCTGGTTTTGAATGAGCTCACACTCAGTGTCGTCATAATGCTGTCTGGTAGATTGTTCCAAGGGTTCACAATCTCACTCCGAAAAAGTTTGCCTTGACAATTTTTTGAACGTGTGATCTCTATCGGGGCAAGCATACCACCAACTTCAGAAATGGAAACTCAAATGAGAAATATCCTCTGAGGTGTTTATAATTTCTACAGTACAGTATATTAATTCACCCCTAGCCCACCTTTAAGACAAGCTAGGCAGTTGCAAATGTTCTAATCTCTCTGGGTAACTGAAGTGCCATAGTGCAGACACCAGTCTGATGGCCTTCTTATGGATGTTTTCAATTATCTGACAGTCTCTAGCATAACTCGGGGACTAGACAGGGTGACAGTACTCCAAACGGGGAAGCACCCCACTTTTGATTGACTTTCTTTTAAGACCATTAGTTTACTCACTTAATTCACCTTCTTGTTACAATGGCCTGTAAACTTTAGTTTGTTGTCAATACAATCCCAGGGTCTTTTCACATTCGGTTTCTGTTAATGCTGTTTCTTCATTCCGTTAGGACATGTGATATGCCTCCTTACTTACTGTTGGTACGACCTACGGTAGGTGCATCCTCTTGCATTTTGTGACGTTAAGTCTTTACAGCTATTCCTTTGACCACTCCGGAAGCTGACAGAGATCATTCTGTACTCTTCACAGTCCTCTTCACAGTCCATTTGATTCTTAATTTTCTTGACTAACTTGGCATCACCCACAAACAATTATATGGATGAGTGTATAGCTTCTGGCATATCATTTATGAAACAAACAACAATGGGCCCAGTACACTGCCCTGTGGTACCCCCACTTGTCACAGGTATACAGGACGATTTCGTGCTATTAATCAACATACACTGATTGGGGTCATTAAGAAAGTCTCTGACCTACTCTAGGACACTCCCCCAAAAACTCCATACACTTCCAGTTTAATTTTCAACTACTGTAGTATTATAGAGTACTGTACATAGTGATAAGTCCATCAGTCATCTAGTAGTAGAGGTAAGACCATCGGTCATCAGAATTGTACAGAGATACGTTGGCCATCAGTCAACCCCCTTCCCCCCGTGTGTATAAGGGAGGTACAGTACATTGGCCAGTCATGTCAAGAGGGAGAATGAGATAAGATAACTGAACAAAGGAATCGTTTGCCTGAAAATAAAAACTACCTATACGCTGAGAGAATCTTCAATGCCCCACAACAGACTACAATACAGTATAATACAATACTGTATAGGAAACACTGTCAACTGTCAATAAAGTTACAAGATAAACTAAAAAAAATTATATTCTACATTACATACCAAGGGTTATAAGAGGAACATTTGTGTCATTTTATAACCTCGGCCATACAAGGAGGCAGATACCCTTAATAAGCAAATAGGGAGCGTACTGTTATAAACCTCAGTAAGTAAGGTAAGTTCGATTACCTCCAAAAACCCAGGAAAAAGATATTCCCACACTTCCATAACCAAAGGAAAGGCCTTGACCCCTCCATAACCATTACAGGAAAGAAGACCTTGACCCCTCCATAACCATTACAGGAAAGAAAAGCCTTGACCCCTCCATAACCATTAGAGGAAAGATGACCTTGACCTCTCCATAACCATTACCCCTCCTCAACCATTAGAGGAAAGGCCTTGACCCTCTATAACCATTAAAGGAAAGGCATTGAAGCCTCAAAGGCATAGGGACTATAAAAGGGAGGGAGGGAGGGAAGGCTTACTCTCATATGACCTCTAGAGTGGGAAGTGGGTTCTGATGCCTTCTATTGCAGGAAAAGCGAGACTTCGAAGCCCTTACAGCTAGGTGAAACATTCAGGTGTTTTTGTATAGTAAAAAGTATTTACTATTGACCTCAGAATACCTCCTAATATCAAATGCACATGGCCTCAAAATGCCCATGATATTGGTCAGATTTCAAAAAAAATTCTGGGGGGCTTACAGCGCCTCCCCCAAACCCCCAGCTGGGTTCCTCTACCCACAACTTTTTGGATCCCCCGCCTTTTGATATTCCTGGATCCGCCCCTGATATTTGATCATGTTTAAATTTAAGCGTCAATAAAAATGCATTATTAAAAAGAAATTACAGTATAAACGTACCTGGCATGTGGTGTGTTACGGTCCTTCGATGAGCTGTAAAATCACTTACCTGAAATGTAGAGATGCATATTAGTACGGTACAGTATATGACAATATCGATGACAACTTTCCCTCCTTAAGCTCCTCCATTTACACTCCACATTCAGTAACATGTTATTACCTACACTGATTATATATAAATCCATGGATACGGGTTTGAGTGAGAGAATGGTAAACCAGATGGATAATTTAGGCCTTGTGAAAGACGACCAAAATAACATATCTATTACTGTGGTAAGAATGAAGAGCTTGTGACCGAGTGTACTAACACTTTTGCTCATAAATCAGGTCACCCACCATAGAGAGGCATTATATTTCTCACCTTTTCATGAAGGTTGTTCCTGACTCGGTGTAGTCTTGGAGTAGACAACAAAGCAGCACTACAAACAATTTTCCATAATAATGTACTCCCAGCACTATTTTTCTAAAGTACGAACTTACACACTGTATTTTCTTCCTACCCAAAGCTTCATGAAATTATCTAGCACACACATAACGAACACTTCCATTTTCTTTCGGCTGCATTAGAATTATGTATAATGGTTTAATCCTTTCACAGCGGGAGGTTACCCAAAGCTGAATAAAATCGTCTAGCGGTAGCCAGAATAAAATGGCAAGTGCATGACACGCGGTGAAAGGTTAAGCTTTAAGGGTCGTCAGTTCTTTGGGATAATTTCGCACAAGCCTCAAGGGTAATTCCCACTTATCTAATGGAGTCCCATTTTGGGTAAGCTTCCGGTTTTGGGTCAATTTGTAGTTTCGACCAACCACGGAATTTTTATTATAAAATGTGTTTTCCGATAGTTAAGACAATTCTAAGACACTTTTCTATGACATTTCCCTTGCCCTTCTGGATTCCCCGGCATACATGTAAATTGCGAGGGAAACGTTATTGAAGAATTGTCTTAGAATTGTCTGAACAATCAGAAAACACGTTTTCTTATAAAACTTCCTGTAATATTGCAGTAAACAGCAACCACAGAAGTCTGGAGATTCACTACACCGTGGTTGGTCGACACTGCAAATTGACCCGATTTTGCTATACTGGAAGAAATACTTGACGAATAGTCCAGTTTCAGCACCAACTTGAGGAAGTTTCTCCATAGAAGTTAAACAGCTTTCTTATTTTGATAATCTGACAAAAAATCCAGGACAATACGTTTGCCTATTTTCACGTTTACGATTTTTTCCGTTTACCGTCTTCGAAACACCTGCCACTGCCGCTACTACTCCCTGTCATCGAGCGTTGGTTCGTTTCTATATTTATTATTTTTTTAGATACAGCTGCACATTAGTTATTTTTTATAATTTCTCCAAATTGAAATATAAATCCCTTCTTTTTCATACTTCTACATTATTTAACTTGTCGTTCATAAAATGTAAACTACGGTCTTCCTCTGCTGATTTCAGATGTAAAAGACACCTAGGGTACCACCAAACACATTCCTTGTGCACTCTTGTCATTTTCTCGAGGTAAGAAAGCTTTCATCTTTTACGGAAACATTTCTTCAAGCTGGTGAACTTAATGCTAGGACCTGACTACTTTCAAGTACTTGTATTACCGAAACAAGTCCATGTTATTATTATTATTATTATTATTATTATTATTATTATTATTATTATTATTATTATTATCTGCATAAATGAATACCGGATCAACTAGGCTATAGTCATCAGACTTTTCCAGTGTTACAATTCCATTTGGTTTAAAAATGAAACGTGTTCCCTTTAAGTAATTCATTTAGATCAACCGTACTGTATGTATTAATAGGTATTTGTGTGGCATAATCTATATTGCCAATGACAAAAACTTTTTACTTTAACTGAATATACAAGATTTATCACTTCATCTCCATTCTGAGATGCAACGAAGGAACGTATTTTTGACAACTCGTATACAGGGGTACCTAGTGACAGCACTAGGATCCCGCTTCCCCTATCAAGGAATAAACAATTGAAATTGAAATTGACAACTCGTGCATAATTTCATAATACATCAAGCTAACGTAACGAGAATTCTGATGTTAGAGGGGTCGTCATGGTGGAAGCAGGCAAACGTTTTAATTCTGAACCCACAGATCAATTAAATCTGTTTATTATTAAAACTTCACCCCCCTTGAAACTAAATCGACTTATGAGTTTTTTGTTTTTAATCATTCATTAAATAAATTATATTAAATACAATTTCTTAATTTGGCTGATACCCGAAATTCAAGTTCTACATTTCGGGTTTTCCCAACAGCCTTTGCACCCACTCACCCAGTTTGTCTAGTCAATAATACTAGTTATACCGTACATCTTTGCGACTTCTAGTTTTTAATTATTTTGGGTTTTAAACTGTGATCAAGTCCCAGGTTGCTGATCTGACTTTTTGCCTCATTTACACACAATTGCTGGGTCTCAATTGTTTCGCTTACTTTTATAACACAACATACATATATTATTTCTCACTCTTGTTTTTTTTGTATTTCTTTATAGTTCTTTATTATTATTATTATTATTATTATTATTATTATTATTATTATTATTATTATTATTATTATTATTATTATTATTATTACATTTTCGCCCCCAAGGCCCCGATGTGGGTCAGTGACCTGTGCCCAGGTGGGTTAATTCCCGTAAAAAAAAAGTATATATATCCATTTAATGTCAATGTAAACAGGAAAGTGGAAACGAAAATGCAAATTTTTTATGATTTATTTTTTACCACTTATGAGACCGTATCCTTACCCATCCCTAGAGACGTGGTTACTGTGGGTGTACGGCTAAATAATGACTCAGGCTCAGAAAAAGCTGCCCTCAATAAACTGCGCTGTCACTGGGGGAAATATGTATTTTACTCTAACTTACTGTATATTCTTTTGAAGTAAAAATAAATCGGGTGCTTTACTTTATTATAGCATTACTAAAATAACCGTTTTTAATCTATTCAACGGAACTACTAATTGTTATTGTAATTTGAAGATTGTTTGTGGCCATAATACAGCCACTTTCTCCCTGATTCGTAAGAGCAAGTTTTCATTTAATCAATCAATAGTTTTTTTTTCATCCTCAGTGTTTGTTTTTCACCTCCCTCTAGTGCTAAGTAACTGTACACATTTTTGTGACTTGTTCACTTCCTAATGCACTCTGCAGTGAATTACGATTTTGATCACTCCACATGCGTGCGGTAACGAGTCATATTGGTTCATCTTGTGACTGAATGTCAAAGTAAAATTTCGTATCTGTGTTTGAGGAGATGAGGAATGTCAAATCTGTAGTCTGTGCCACATCTCGACCTTGGCCATCCGTCTGAGTGCCTGACCCCAGTGTGTGAGGCGAGCGTCGAGGGGGTCTCCTGGCACACTTAAAATACCACCACCACCCACCTCCTCACCACCCACTCCCTCACTATGCACGGGGCTCTGGAGAGTCATCCTGCCGCCCGGAGTCGCCTGCTCGCCACCAAACAGTTCCTCGGGGCCTAATGTTATCTTGCCGAGCAGCGCCTCCTTAGATGTGACAGAGTGACGCGCTCGTCCGTGGATCTGTCGGAGAGAAAGACCTCAGCTTATGACTTAACAGTAATAATTTTCCAAACATAGACACAAATTACTTTGCATTCACCTTAAATACGTTGTACATGAACAAAGAATACATGAAATTTATATAAGACACACCTCCAGGAGGATGGCGGAGAGGTGGATCTTGTCCTTTGGAACAGAGAAGGAGACGGTGCAGCCGTGTTTAAAGGTCGCCTCCCAGCCCTGCTCTTCGTAGCCCTTAGGTCGCTCCAGAGGCGTTGGGCTCATCTCGTGCTTCTTCTGCTTCCCCTCTGAGAGAAGCGCCGCCCTCACCCACACCTCTGTGCGAACTGTACCAGAGAGTTACTGAACCACACCTTTGTATGGATGATATAAGGTCCAGTTTTATTACAGTATTTTGTTTTGGGGGAGTAAAGGACAATGCACCTGACAACACCGACCAACATAACGACGTGGATCTTGTCTTACAGAGGTACTTTAGAGAAGATAAGAATATTAACTCGCTAATATTAAGATATGTTTTATGCCTTGCATCTTAAGAGCTGTACAATAGATTAGAAAACACAAAGATCTGTAATAAGAATTCCTCACGAGATGTGAAAAATAAAACGTACAAGGAAGTTGGTAATTCGCATATGTGACGTTTCAACAGTATGTGAATGACAGATAATGGAATAGTGAAAGAAGTATCTATGGGTCGACGGTGACAAAGGTTTTCATTTAATTATTACATTCACCATTAAAATAACAGTATACTTGTAACTAGAAAATAGAGAATAATGGACGATAAATGCGGTGGTGAAAGAAGGGAGCTAAGCCCTTGGTAAGACAACAATCTTTGGACAAGATTTAGTCGATATACTGTACTGTACCTTACCCTCTCACCTTCCCTCCCTCTCTACACCAACACCGTTTTGAGAATGTTATATCCCTCACCTGTATTGACTACCGCTGTCCCTCACTACCAAAAAAAGACCTCGCCACTCACTCTTGAACGATTTGGCAACATCGTCCCCGAGAAGTTGGATCTTGACATTCCTGACGTGCATGAGGTCGACGGTGAAGGTATAGTAGCCGTAGGAGCGTTCACAGCAGGAGAGAGCCACCAGAGCCATCCCTAAGTGGTCCTGCACCTGTACCAAACACCGAAACATTATGAAACGTAGGTATTACTAACGCTGTTATGTGACAGACACCCATAAGCATATACGTCATAATAATACAGGAACGTGACCCCCCCCCCTCCCCACACACACACACACACCTGGCTACCCTGACGCATATGAAGAGGAAAGGTGCACCACTCTCCAGCAGTCAGGTGTTGGGCCTCCAGATTGGGGACGAGAGCGTGACCGAGGGCCAGGTAAGGCTGACGGCGCCTACCAGCCACGAACCCCGACAACACCAACGACCGATCACGAATATTACTAATCTATAAAGAGCACTACAGATTACCCTCAACAATACGAGATGATGAGAGTGTTTGGTTATAAGTGATGACTGAGTAAGGGGCGGTAAGACAAGGGTGAGTGTCGACTGAGGATGAAGGGAGACGGGGAATGGAGGTGGTGAAGAGGAGGATCAACTGGGGAAGAAATCAGTGGTAAACAGATATGGTACTAACCTTGAGGCAGCACTTTGGGGTATAGCAGTAGGAGGGGAGACTAGGGCCAGGCTTCACACATTTGATCACCTTGTTCCTCCTACCTGGCCGCACCTGAACCTGTAATACCACAACACACACGTCTGTCACGGTACTGTCTATATATTCCTGGTAAATGTTTACGCCAAGTAGGAACATTGTTACGCATTCTGTTCTTCACTTCTGCTGCGAACACATACAAGGTTGTGACACATACACAACAAGGGGTATAAAACATAAAGGCTGCGACACTAAAGGTTGTGACACATAGATGACACGTAAGGGTTATAATCTATACCTGGAAATCAAGAGTGGAGTTTTCTTTGCCTGGTGGAAGCTGTGTCACCTGTACCACGTCCACCTGTAGTCTGTAGGAACCAAGACAATGCTGATACGGTGGTGCAGCAGTACAGGAATACAGTGTTACAGACAGTATTAGTGATGTATCTCAGTTAATGTTACTAATTATCTAAATATTCAGCACCTTTGATGGTTTATAACATTTACCCTATATACGAGTACTCTTACACAACTTATAATACACCTCAGGTCATCGGCTTTGTACAGTTAAGATAATAGAAGAAATCTCTCTCTCTCTCTCTCTCTCTCTCTCTCTCTCTCTCTCTCTCTCTCTCTCTCTCTCTCTCTCTCTCTCTCTCTCTTTCCGACAAGGGAAGATGTGTAACTCACTCACTCTTTTCTATCCACCAGGTACTTGAGGGCTAACACCACCATGCCGAAGGAGTACCACACGGGGTTGTTCTTGGTGTCGACGCGGCTCTCGTAGGAGGCGATGGCGCGGAGAGTGTTTGCACTCCGTAGTTTGACAGGGGTGACGTTGCCCTTGGTGGTGTACTCCCCATGATAGTGGATGTTCTCGCTTCCTAACACTGAAGATAGCAGACCCTTCCCCGGCCACCGTATACCATGTTTAGTAGGCGGGTACTCTGAGGACACCATCATCATCATCATCATCATTAGAATGGGTGTGTGAATGTGTGTTATAACATGTGAAATAGTACACACACACACACACACACACACACACACACACACACACACACACACACACACACATATCTGTATTTCATCGAAGTATGTAAAGTAGACCTAAATATAGAAACTGAAAGCCTCCAAGTTGTGGGGTAGTGAGTGTGTTACTGACCAGTGAGGCGGCCGGGGGTAAGGGAGAGGGGCGGTGGGCCTTGCTGTGGTGGCCGAGCAGCTTCCTCCGGCGTCAGGAACCTCGGATGACTGCATCGAACACCAGTCTTTTCCTGTACACACACATGGTAACCAGTCATTAGCGCGCACGGAAACACACATGTACACATATGTTAACTGTTAGTGATATAGTGACTTAGTTTTGTTCCAAGATGTTTACATCAATTCAAATAAAGAGTACTGTACTGTACATTATAATTCAACAAGTATTGTAATTAGACATGAAATAGCAGGGATTGACACGAGGAAGGTCATCAACAACTACTGAAAAATATAACTCAACTATCACAATAACATTAAATGTCAGAAGAAAACCTTGAGTAAAAGTGAGAGGCAGCCCTCCGGAGCCTCGGAAGTAGTCATGAATTACACATATATTTAACTCCATGACTGGGCGTGTACAAGCAAGGGTAGCAGCTAATAGTGGCCTGGTGGGCGTCTGTGACAACAACACGTTGTTGTTGTGAGGGGCTAGCACACTGCCCTCGCTGTAGTGGAGCGATAAACTGGCCCCTGTTGTCATATACAAACACAACAGATATCCAATGGCTAAACTATAGCGTCTAATTGGGTGATATGCTAACCAGCAATGACAGATAAGTATGAGTCAAAACAAACGTGACGCACATAAGAAGCGTGTATATCAAGTTTAGGCAGATACTACCGTCTGTATATGTACGGTATAATGAGGGTGTGCTTAAATTCCTATTAGAAACTTAAATATAGTTTGAAGAAAATTAAATTGTAATGTTACGTGCTACCCGTCAGTATTTCATATATTCCCCTTCAAGTTGTACCGTATCCTTTGAACTTTTTACCTCAGTGTTTCATGGTTTAATGTGGCAGATGATACTGACCGAAAGCGTGGACATCCTGCCAACACTGCTCGTGACATCGGTGACGCTACCACTGACGTTGCCGTTGAAATCCTCATTAACGTTGCAATAGACGTCCGCCAGACCATCAGGAGACCCGACGGCCACCAGGCTACGGGTGTACTCCAGGGAGGCGAGGCTTTGGGCGCTCTGGAGGCTATACACCCCTTGAAGACTCTGAAGGCTCCTAATACTACCGTGGAGACTACTGGAGGCGATGCTAGGACTGGTGCTTCTGAGGGCGATGCTGGGACTGGTACTGTTGGGGGCGATGCTTGTGACGCTGGAAGTACCGGAGGAGGTGAGACTGTGACGTTGATTGAGATCTAGAGACTTACACGCTACGTCAGGACGGTGCAGAGGAGGACACTCTGAGGAGGAAACATCCACTCACTACACTATCAACGTAATATAATAACTGTGAAATGAATGTATACAAAAAACACATTGAAAATAAAAAAATAAAATAAATCGATTTCTTACTAGACTCAAGTTGACATTTTGGCTGATAAATTCACAAGTAGGTGAGTCTGATTTATTGATTCGTGTAACACTGAGGATGGTAAGACATGATCTGTGATACGAATGAAGGACCTGAATGCAAATGATCTTATCGATTTTTTCTATAATGACAAGAAAAAAGAGCGTACGTGTGTGTGTCAGTCAGCACCATAGCTGCTCCAAGACCATGACATTTTACATGTACTGTATACAAAGGGGACTCTGGGGTTTGCACCTCATGATTATTTATTTAGATTTGGTTAGAAATGAATAAAAAATGAATAAATAAATTAGAGGAAAAGAATGTGAGGAAACATACACAAAATTGATAGTGTAGTTGATGTTGCAGTAGATGATAGTGTAGTTTACAGTATAATCACGGACATACTGACCCCCCCCCCGCTCATAAACGAACCTGGCAACGTCGGGTTAAGAACATAAGAATGGAGGAAACTGCAGCGGGCCTATTGGCCCATACTGGGCAATCCCGTTTACACCCAACCCCTATTGCTCATATAAGCATCCAACCTATGTTTGAAGCTATTCAGCGTATTCGAGTTAATGATGATATTTGGTAACTTGTTCCATTCATCCACTACTCTGTTTCCAAACCAGTGTTTACCTATTTCACGCCTAAATTTGGATAGTTTGAGTACCTTTGTAATGTCCCCTTTGTTTAGTCCTGTCTTCCACTTATACACCTCCATCAGGTCGCCCCTTGCTCTACGTCTCTCGAGGGAGTGCAAATTAAGATGCTTTAATCTGTCTCTATACTCAAGGTTCCTAATGCCCGGGATTAGTCTTGTCATTCTCCTCTGAATTCTTTCCAAGGATTCTATATCCATTCTGTAATACGGTGACCAGAACTGAACTGCGTAATCCAGGTGTGGTCTCACAAGAGCAAGATACAGTTTGAGGATGACCTCGCTAGTCTTGTAATTAACACTCCTTTGTTTGAACCCAAGTACTTTATTAGCCTTGTTACGAGCAAAAACACATTGTTTACTTGGCTTAAGGTTCCTACTTATCATTACTCCTAAATCTCTCTCGCAGTCGGATTTCTCTATGGCATCGTTGTTCATCTGGTATCTGGTTTCCCTGTTTACATCTCCTATACTGAGTACTTTACATTTGTCCACGTTGAATTTCATCTGTCATTTTTCAGACCATTCGAAAAATTTTTTAGATCTTCCTGTAGTTTTGCTGAGTCCTCGTCAGATTTAATAACACGTCCTATTTTAGTGTCATCAGCAAATTTACTTATGTTGCTGTCTATGCCGATATCTATGTCGTTTATGTATATAATAAATAATAATGGTCCAAGTACTGAGCCTTGGGGAACTCCACTTGTGACGTTGCTCCAATGGGACTTAGTGCCGTTAATGCTCACTCGCTGTTTCATGTCCTGTAACCACGCCCTAATCCATTTAAGGATGTTACCTTTGATGCCATGAGCTTCAACCTTTCTAATTAGTCTTTCGTGGGGGACTCTGTCGAAGGCTTTGCTATAGTCGAGATATACCACATCATAATTGTGCCCCTCGTCCACCGATTCGAAAACTGATGAAAATAATGTTAATAGATTAGTTAGACAAGAACGTCCGCTTGTGAAGCCATGCTTCCTCAGCAGCAGAGGATACACATATACACAACTTATCACAACTTATAGGAAGTAACGCTGATGTCTGTGTATCGTTGCTTAAATTAATTAGTTAAATGTATATATATATGTTATTATATTACCACAAAAGGGAGAAGCCTTTGAGTATCGTGAGGTAAATTACACGTGCGGGCTGACTCACGAGGCTGGACGCGCACTATTACGGTGGAGGGGATTGCGCTGGGGTGGACGAGGTGGATCTCAGTTGCCCCTCTCTGGATATACTCGTCCTCCTCCTGCTCTCCCTCTTCCTCATCGTCGTCTTCCTCCTGTGAGTCGTCTGTCTCTTCCCTTCTGCAAGGGTGACAAGTACCAGGAGTGTCAACTCAGGCAATTATGTGACGTCTTAGAGATAATGCTAAAATTAAAAACTTTATTTTGATTATTTCCAGTCACAGAACTTCGCCTTACGTACTTCCATGTCACCTCGAGCACATTATTGTGAATTTAAAGTTAAAACCTACTGAAACTCTTCACAGACACACACCTGGACGTACCTGAGTGACCTGACTGAGCGTCTGAGTCTGAGGTTGTTATGAGCTGAGGAGAGTGGGTGGTGGGTAGGTGTGACCGACTCCTGCCTCCCACCACCCACACCAAAGCATTTCCGGCACCACACCCACATCCTTGCCTCCACCTGCATTGTAATAATAATTATGATAATAATAATAATGATAATAACGATAATAACAATAAAACTAATAATAATAATAATAATAATAATAATAATAATAATAATAATAATAATAATAATAATAATAATAATAATAATAATAATAACAATAACACTAATAATAATAATAATAATAATAGTAATAATAATAATATTAACAATAATAACACTAAGACTAATAATAATAATAATAATAATAATGTAGGACACTTCTTAAGTCATTGGTCATAGCTTTAAATTGTTCGATCATTAACTACAACCATCGTGTGTATAATACACAGTGTATTACAAATATGATAAAAAAATATATATGTTCTTGTTATCTTGTAGGGTTACCGGAGTGATCATTTGTAGGGTTACGTGATATTATGTGGTCTAGCACTCAGGATGGGATTGATGGAAACTCTAAGGTGGTGGTTTTCTTATATAAAATATATTTTATATAAGAAAACCACCACCTTAGAGTTTCCATCAATCCCATCCTGAGTGCTAGACTACATAACATCATAGAAACCCTACAATCTGAGCTGTTTGTTCCTTGTCATGTCTCACTGGTCCATGATCTAATAAATCGGGTATATTGATACGAGAATGTGCGCCATCTTGAACTGTCTACAGTGCCTTTTATATATTATTTTGATTTATTTTATGTTCAACTTCTCTTGTTTTCATTACGCTGTTGTTATTAATAATGTATTTTCGATCAGCATTTTGGAACTGTGTTATTAAATCAGGACACATTTTATTTCATGGTAAAAATTGTGGCTATTGTCTTTTTTTGTTAATTAACCAGTGAGTTTCATTTATGCAGAAATAAATGTACTATACGTTAGCTTCCAACAAGAAATGCAGTGAAGGGATTGTCTTGTACTAGTAGCCGCACCAGATGACACTTGGCAACTGAAAGGTATAATGGATTGTGAACCTGTTGGTGGTGATGTTGATATTAATAAGATCTGAGATGAGTGTAACCTAGCAACAGAAATATGAAAAGGACATAATTTTTCTCCCCGAAGATTTACGTCACATTACTTCAGGCTATTCACGTGTAGTTTGACATGTGAACAAACTGAACACAGAGCAAAGTGCATGATACATACAGTACTTGGTAGCTGAGACACATGACTTACGGTGACATGACCATTAGTACCATTACACTTAATTTAACACCTACCTCATGACACATACACTGGGAAGTGAGAGGTAATACATACCTGAACTCGAATAGATAAATGTTACAACAGAAATGTATGAGTTGTTGTCTGAAGGCGTGAAAAGTTAAATTCCTCGACACAAATTTCTGAGACTTCCTACGGGAAGTGTAAACACGTGACCACAAAAAGGCAATTTGGGAGATTGACTCGAAGCACACACACACACACCGGGGGTGTTGCGTACATTGATCCCCTGTTTAACATAGAGGTCTTGGGATATATGGTTTGGTGACGATAATATATCTCGTTATCACTGCTATCAGGGAAGGTGCTAAGTTCTCATTGTGACTATCTCAAGACGCTGGCATTTCACAACACCTTGGTGCTTTTAATTAGAGTATGGACTGCCAGGTCTTTTATATGGATGTTGAGCTTCATTCCACATAATGGTAAACTATGTAACTAAATGTACACCCACTAAAAAAATTATTCGGCACACGTGTCATATTGTATCACGCCGTAAGGGTGCCGAATAATTTTTAGTGGGTGTACATGTATGTATCGTGCATGTATGTATGTGTGTGTGTGTGTGTGTACAAGTATCATGTACACCCACTAAAAATTATTCGGCACCCTTACGGCGTGATACAATATGACACGGGTGCCGAATAATTTTTTTAGTGGGTGTACATTACAGCTTCCAGTGTGGGGCAATAGTCACCGACTGTTTGTGGTATTCTTATAACCAATGATTAGTCACATTGGATCATCTGAAGAACCCTCCCCCAAAAGCGTTACCTAGGGAGGAAATTCTTCGGTTGATCCCATCCTAATTTAACCTAACCGAACCCAACGTAAAGTAATCTAAACTCACCGAACTTAACCCAACCTAACGTAACCTAAACTAACCTAACCGAACACAACCTAACGTAGCCTAAACTAACCGAACTTAACCCAACCCATGACTAAAAATCTCCCCAGAGTGTTCACCTGAAGAATCTTGACCCAGCGTTACCTGGGGGAGGAGATTCTTAAGATCCGTCACATTTTGTATACCTCATCTACTATTTCGTATACTGTAATCGTCTTCTCTCATGAGGAAATACATAAATAGTTTCCTTCCATTCTTTCTCATTTCCTACGTTAACATTATATATCCTCAGCAAAGACCAATCCCCCTTTTCATCAAAAAATTCCAATACTTTTTCTTTAATGCAGTATTGTACTTAGGCATTTTTGTATAGTAAAAAGTATTTACTATTGACTTCAGAATATCTCCTAATATCAAGTGCGCTTGGCTTCAAAATGGTGTCAAAATGCGCATGATATGGGTCAGATTTCCCCACGTGGCTAGCGTGTGAGTTTAGCATCCCTTCAGCGTAATTAAAAAATTACTGAATGAAGATGCGGATAATAACAAAAGCGATGTAGAATGTTAACCAGTTGTGTACGGGGTCTTCTTTCTGCTGAATAAATTCACCTGATGTTGACCAAATAAAATATTAAAAGTGGCATCCCCGTAGGGTTGTTAATGGTTATGTAACGTGTATGTTATGTATCAAGTATGTCTGTGTCCCAATTCACCATAAATGCAATAATCTTTTTGGATAGGATTCGTCCTAATTATTTAAATAATATTAATTGATATTTTAAGTTATATATATTTTTAAATATAACCATTATTTTTTGCGTATGGGAAGGTACCGGCTGGGCTCTGGTAGCGGTATGTTTTTGTTGGACTTGGCTTTTTCCACGCTAGTGTTATGACCACCGTCAGGGTGGGGTTATGTAGACATTTCAAGCCTTGTGCCAAGCAAACAGGAACTTAGAGATATACTTGAGTCAGAATTTCTTATTTGCAAAGCTCTAGATTTGCGGCGAATATCTGGACCAATACGGTCTTGCGTAATAACGCATTTTAAAAGACCATGTAGAGTACTTTGGCGTTGGTGATAAATATGTTCCAATAATTTAATCAGACAAAGTTTAGGACAATATTCCCCTATTTTACTAAGAAAGCGGACCATTTTAATGTGGAAAATAAAAACTAAAATATTGTATTTAAATAGAACATTAAAATGATTTATTTATACCAATTATCGAATAAAATATAATTCATAAATCAGAGTAGCTTGTAGTAGTAGTTGTTGGTTTTGCCGCCAGAGGTTAGCACGTGGACAATTGTTTGGTGCACGGATGCCGATGCTGTTATTGCTGCCTTTCTCCCGTAAATGATATGTAAGTGAACTTTTATTTGTCGATGATAACATTTTTTACAAGTGGAGGTCTGGAGCGTAAGTGAATTGAAAAAGTGAAGTAAGTGATTGTGATGTTTGTGTAGGCGGTGGGTGGATGTGGCAGGGTGGCGGCGCGCCATGTTGGTATGCCGCACCACTTAGCGGCATGTTGAATTAAATATTTGATATGCATGAAGGGCGCATCTCGGCATATAGTTTTCGAGATCAATATTATTAATTTTGATAGCTTATTATGTTAAGCCATGTCTAAGAAATATTTAAGAGCAAGAAAGTCTTATTTATTGTTTTATGGACCTGGTGTTTCTGGCTGGTGACGGTCTCTAATGCTTCTTAACCTATTGTTGACTTACAGGTATTCCTCCTTTAGTCATTTATGTCCTGCCTGCACACACCTGTACATATTTGTTTTAATAATTGAGTATTTCTTGAAGGAGAGTTAAGATTGATGTTCGAGAAGAGTTGACTAGGAAATTTGTGATCTGTTCTCAGCCATATTTGCTGACACACCATGATTTATAGAAATATTGTTTTATGGTACCCTACTTTCTTCATAGTTGGTATTCCTTTTTTTTTATTTTAAGGTGATTATGATTAACAGTATCGTGGTTTACATTCATAGAGGCGATATGTGCTTCCTGTAAAATGAATGATAAAACTCGACCTAACTTAGATGGTATTATTTTAGTTTCGGTTATTTGGGGAATTTAACCCTCACCTGAAAGGAGGAGTTTCGCCCCCACAGTTAGGTTAGATATAGTTCTTGGGTTTCGTGGCTAGGTTAGGTTAGGTTGGGTGTCTAAATACAGGGATGACTGAAACAAAGTTTTACTGCTTAGATTTGGTATGCTGGATTCACTGTAGCCATTTTTAAAGTAAAGCCCTACAAACTTTACTAAAACTGAATTTGGAATTTTATCTTTGCAATCGATAATTTGGACAATTCTAAGACACTTCTTCTATGATGTTTACCTCACAAACAACCTATGATGTCAGGAGGTCCAGCCAGATATGAGGTTAGGTTAGGTCATTTGCAAGAGAAATGCCATAGAAGAAAGGTGTTTCAGAATTGTCATCTTTGGATTGCAAAGTTGAAATTCTCAAGAATCGGTTGGTGGCAACAAATGCTGTTTTACCGTTCTTTGTTATTTTAACTTTTGTTTGTTTAGGCAGAATAAACATCTGGTACACACTATGAATACTCATTGACTTCTGACAAATACTGTATTGTATTGAGACTTCTCTTCGGTAGAGTACAACAGTGCGTGTATTTGTGAGCCGCTTTAGGAAAAAAACTTAATATTCCAAAGTGACCATACATGGAACTTAATACTGATTCTTATAGTGGGAGAGAGTAAAAAATAAATTCCCCAGTAAGAATACTTTATAGCATTTCCATCGGAAATTTATAGTTTTCCTGTTATTTTCCCTTTGATTTCACTTGAGAGTACAAATTTGCAGGCATGTACTACATTGTTTACTTCTTACTCAGCCAATCAGCATCAGTGTTGATGTCAGGTGATACTCGTGAAGATATGCTTACGTTTTCGGTGGAATTATTATTGTTTATTTTTTCCTTTTTCATGTTTGGTGCCTTATGGGTCTTTATTTTCTTCGTTTTTTCTTGTTAGGTTTTTACAGCAAGGGCTCTACTCCTCCCTGGATAGGTTAGGTCAGGTCCTTCTGGATTCTATGGTTAGGTTAAGTTAGATCAGACGTATCGTATGTCTGTACTGATATTGGATTTTTTTCCTGTGTTTTTAAACGCACACTTCTCCTCTGCTTCAAATCCCTGCCCAGTATGTGTAATCAAAATTGTGTTTCTTTTAGTGAAATAAAAAAGTAAATATATTGTACAGTACAGTATATAAATTTCTAATGGAAAATCAACAACGTTAAAGACTAAAGTATTCGTATTTTCTTTTTGCTCTTTCTCCCTTTATAAGAAGCGATATAATATTCTGTGAATAGTCACTATGGAGTGTCTAGAAGAAAACTTTTTGTCTTTAAAGTATCATTAAAAAATACTGGGTTTTTGTCATGGACACTTACCTTCATAGTCCTGCCACCATTATAAGGTGTGTACATAAGTGCTGAAAAACAAAATGCTCATAGAAATTACAGTACTCTAATGCTTTTCTGTACATATGAAAAACTGACAGCTGCAGCTTTTGAACATTTTTGTAGTGATTATAAATTGTTTCTTGAACTGATAAATACTGTACCAAAAATAAGTTGGTTTTATGGCAATTTTTTTTTTTTATTAGTTAAGCAATTTTGTGCAGGATGACATTTCAAAGCATCTCTTTCCTGCAAATATTCATTAGTGTCCACCAACCACCGATGATTTATCGTAAATCAGACAAAGAAACCAACCAAATCTAACCTTCCAAAAGCTAACTTACCTAACCTAGGATGGAAGCTTATTACTCTGCATAATGGTTGGTTAGGGGGTTATTAACAGTTGGTATGGAAGGTTGCTTAGTGTTAGGATCCCTTTGCTGGTAAGCTCATCAATAATTTAACCAAAAACATGAGAGCAATGACATCCGTGTCAAATTTCCTGGTAATAAATACTATAGATAAACAAAAGTAGGAAAGTTTCAATTCCTTCAAACTTTAATCTATTTTGAAAGATATGTCCTTTTGCTAGAAATTGATTGGATTTCAGGTCACACCCATTAGAAATGCATATGGTATTTACAAAATGGGTGACATGAGACACCCGTCATAAATAACCCAATAATTAGTGACTTAGCACTCGGCCAACCTACTCAGAGAAATTTATTCTTTGCGTATAAACCTGTTCTTGTAAAGTGGTGTGCCTAATATTACAGATGTTCTTATAGCTTGTATGACTAACATTATTTCCCAGTGTCTACCACAGTAACATCACCGAGGCATATTGCTTAATAGCAAAAGAAACAAGATTTCAAGTTGGCAATACAGTGGAGATTTTAAGGTGTGGTCCATAAGTAGCTACAGTATGCAGTATTGTAGCCAGCAATCAGCTTCATCCTGATGTCCAGGATGCCATGTACATAAGAACATAAGTTGTTTGCTTATGTACATATTTCTGTTACACAAGTTTATAAACAGGATTCAGAAAATAATATCCAGTATAGAGGAATAATACAAAAAAATCTTTACACATCCTTAGACCAACTGAATGGGTTTTCAGGCGGTTTGATGGCATTTAGCACCAGTGGGACTGCAGTGGTATCCAATTGACAAGCTTTTTTCTGATGGTACACTATATCAACCACAATGGGTTTGTCCTTAGATTTAAAACTCACATACCTAGTACAATGAATAAGGATGATGTCCCCCCCCCCCCCATTTTTTAAGCTCTCAAGTTTTGTTGCATCATGGTATCATCCTCCAGTGTTTTATTCCCCTTTTATACTTTTATTTTAAGCTGTACGAGATTCATGTAGATACTGTACACAAACTGGGAAAAGTGATTAGCAAATGATCTGATACAGTATATATTAATTAAAGTTGGTTCAAAATTACTATACTAGGTCCCCAACTTAGTAAATTTTCATGTCCAACACCCATTACATCATGTGCAACCTGTTTCCAATATTTTTAAACAAGTAGTCTATCTGGTATCTCCTTCAGTTTTATTAACATCCAGTGATTTCTCTGATTTGGATGCTTCCTCATCAGATTGTCAGAGCCAGAACTCTCAACAGATGACAGGTGAATTAGGGGTACTTATCTTGATGAGAGGGTCATCACCTTGGCACACCTTTACCCCACCTTGATGAATCTTGTGGTTTACCAGAAAGGAATACAAAGTAAGTCTAATCTTTAAAGATGTAACAAAGATGGCTTAAATCTCAAGTAATTGCTATACAGTTCGTTGATGTATTGCAAAACCAGAATGTGAGATTTTACTTTTTAGTTCAGTTCATTGGAAATATCTTATGATAAAGGTAAAAAAAATCATCCTAGTATATCATTCTTTATCCATTGTTGTCACAGGATGGTTGATGCAAATTAGTCACAAAGGCGTGACTTGCTCATCAACTTGTGCATTACTCCAGTGAACATAATCCATCCAACCCTGTCTCATTTCTATTTACCCATTCATCACTTCCCTCTCAACTGAAGTACACTTAATGTTTGTAGATATTTTACTTACATGTCCTTCCCTGTTCAAATTCTCTTAGGAGAAAGGAAGAATTGATCCTGAAATTCCAGTATGGTTGAGTGCAAAAATTGATAACTTAGAAATGTGTACTGTACTGTATTCATAAATTGTAAAACTGCATTTAACCCCTTGACATCATAGTCTGACTGATTCATGAATCAATGACTTAAGTATACTGTACTTCTGTGAAACTGACTTTTAACATCCTGTAACATTTTATGAATACTTTAGGTAGGAACAAGTATCTCACTCCAAATTAAAATAAAATATGTTGACCTCTAACTGAGACTTCTTAAGGAATAGAAAACATAATGGTCCTGTTGATTAACTGTTTTCACCAAAATATTATTGGATGACTCGATATCAGGGAAAGCATCCATTTAAAGTACCTTATTCATAAGACAACATTTATGTTGACATTCATTCGCCCAGAAATGTGTGTGGCTGTTACAAAGCAGGAACAGTTTTTGGAAACTTTCATGGGAATGCAATCTTGGTTCCTTATAGTACAGGCTGTGACTGAGATGGTGATGCTCCTGCCCTACAGTTGATCATCACTCTCTTAGGAAGATCACGGTAGCTACATTTTCTTTAGATTAAGTGAAATTCTCCAGACTTTTATGCATCCCTCCAAACTCTTTAATATTCAGGTCTTGATAAAAGGGAAACACGCAGTATGGTACTTACTAGGCAAGAATCTCTTAGCCCTAAAAACCACTAACTTCAAATACAGTACTGTAGAGTAAATGGTTACCCAACAGCATGATTGGAGCTGTGGACACTTAATTTCTCCAGCCATCCTTTCAAATTGCTGCAAGACACCTACTTCAGACTGGGAAGGATCCAGTGCACTTGGAAATGTTTGAACCTTCCCTGTTGAGAAACTGCCAGACAAGTATATTTTTTTTCTGTTGAGGCCCTACCCGGTAATCACTAAAAATCCTGATTAAGTTTAAACTTAGAAATTTTCCCTTTAATCAATAAATCGGCCTAAGAATGAACTTGAACAACTCCTACTGACTTCCATCTGACGGTAACCCTGAAACAGCATCATCCTGATTGACTACATCAGATGTGCCTTTCTCTAAAGAAATTCTGAGGTATGGTAACTCCTGAGATCTTAGTGAAATTTTTGGGGTGCCACCTTCAGCCTGATGAGGGGAATCCTAAACTAGAAATACTTCCCCTAATCTGAATGCGAGAAATATCTTGAATCTCTTGTGAAGGGGGAATATACCAACTGGCATCTTTCAATTTGAAATGGCATTTTAGTGCAAGTGAATTAATAACGCATTTTTTTTTTTTTTTTGTCCAGAATGTCAATTCTTCATCAGAAACAATCTTAATTGAATGGTTTGGGATTTTCATCAATGAAATGAGATTCCTCCATGAATTGGTGTGTGTATGTCTTACCACACTAAGAATCTAACTGGATGCTGGTTTGGTAGTTGGCAAATTTATAAAGCACATATATTACAAAATAGGCAAAAACTGTTTGATACCTGACCATTTTTAATTTGGCTGAGCAGGATGGAAGTAGAATTCTATGCTGGTGTAGCATTTCAGACAGCTTCATTCTTTAAACGATGAAGTTGCATATATAGATCCCATTCAGAACTTTGGTTTGATTAGTATATACAGTACAACTATTTTGTAGTCAATCTTGGTCTGTGATATCCGAGGGTTAAACACAGATTTACAGTCAAGGACTTTACTAAAAGTCTCCCCTCTTGGCTGCCTTCCGTAAATATTACATTTAGCCTTTTCATTTCCCTCTTACGTTCTTATCCAGTTTTTCATTCCAGAAGGCTGGATACAGTTCACCATTTAATTATATCTTAAAACTTTAACAATGCTATCACCATCTCCCCATGTCTAATAACCATAGAGTATTTCTTCTGACCCATTGTGTTAACCTTTATCCATGCCAATTTTTCTTTCTTAGCCATTCTACTGTGTGTCTCACTATTGGCTATCTCCTCTCAATTGATAACTATCCTGTACAAACACTCCCTTGACATTTGATTATAATGATTTGAATTTTACAGTGAATTAAATGCCACTGAACTTTTATTCTCCCTTGGAACCTCTGTGATAACTGCCTCATCTGGAAATCCATTTATGATTTTATTAAATTTCTGATTTTATATGTGTATAATTTCAGTTATTGACAGTTTTAATTTCAGTATGGAAGGAATTTCAAAACAAACCAGTGGAACTTTTTTTTTAACAATATAGTCATTAAACTTACAAGATATTATCTGGAAAGAGGGACCATCATGCTAATGGTGCAAATTTAAGTAACAGGTATCTTATGATGTTGCAGTCACATGGGTATTCCTTCTCATGATCAGCCTGAATAGCACTACATCTGCCATGAACCTGTTTCCCTTGCTTGAATTTTAATGACTTCCTCAGACACCAAGGTACTAGTATAGGTTGCTAACCATCCTGACCTTGAATGAATGAGACATCACCACTCGCGTTTAAAATATTCTGTTCTACCTGTCAAGAACATGACATAGTATAGTTAACCCTTGATCATGACTTACATTTTGTTAGCTGTTACTTCTGTGTCCCCTGCTAATGTTTTCTGTTCAGCCAAAGCACAAGGTGTGTGCCATGGGTGCACAATATGTAACTAGCATTTGTATTCAAAGATTGGATACATATCAAGGGATTGTAACTTTACACAATCGGCTTTTTATCTTTACAGAGTAGGTAAAGCTAATGTGCATGTACTTTCATTAGCATCATCCACACCCGAGTTGAATTTAACATTTGTGCCACCTCTAATGGTCACAGTAAAATTCAAGGTAATTTTGTCAGTTTGTTGCCTCTGGTGGAGGAATTATAGAATAATGACTATCAGGGTGTCAGAGTATCATGTGGGAATTGTCATGATCAAATAGAAATGGATTTGATGAGACTAGTTGGGTAGATATATTCTAAGATCTTAAGTTAAGATTTGGTAGTTTTTATTGCTTTTGTCTATCCTAGGTGAGTAATGCTAGGTCAAGCCTGTGGTATTGTTCCCCCAGGAAACACCAAAGCAAGGTCACCTCAAACTAAGGCATTGATTAACTTAGTAAAAAAATTATTATATTTTAACTCGCCAAGGAGAACTAGAAGAAAGTTACCATTCAAGATAGAATGTTGATGAGGTTGGATTCCACATCAGATGTTCACTATTTGCAAACTTCTTGTCCAGTGTTTGTCAGCTATACAGTATTGTAATTTCAGAGTGGCAGTTTTTTCTACTATAGGGGTTACTGGGTATGCTTTTGACATACCTACTGTATATGCCAGAAACTGGTGTTTATGTCGGTTAGTGCATCAGTACTGGATTTTTCTTCTTTTTTAAGCTGCCTTGGGGGAAGGGCTTACAAAACATTTGCTGTGTAGTACAGCCTGGGTGGCATTTGGAAGTTGTTGGCCTCTCTCTTTCTTTTTTTAATACAGTGGTCCCTCGGTTAACGAGCACAATCCGTTCCAGCAGGTTGCTCTTTAACCGAAAAACTCGTTAACCGAAACCATTGTTTCAATGGGTTTTTGGGTAATTGGTTCCAGCTCACCGAAAATTGCCTAAATTCAACAATGATGATGATGATGGAAATTAGAATGGGGGTGGAGGAGAAGGGAGAAGAGAAGGCATTGGGGTGGAAGAGAAGTCACCCCATGGTGCTATTTCACCCATAAAATTTTAGTTCTCTTGGTGTAATTGAAGATTATTTTCTTTAAATCAACACTGCATTGCATTATATATTGTCAATATGTAAAATAAATTTCAAAATGACCAATAATTTGCTTGTGTGTTAACAGGCTGGATGGCATGCCAGAAACTAGTTTCTTTACCTACAATTATGTTCAATAATTGTTAAAATGACTAAAAAAAATTAATATTAAACTTTTACAATTATTGAATAGTATAAACTTCTTGATATTTATTAAAATAGTAAGGAATTTAAGCCCTAAAACCGATTACTGTATTGGCGGACTAATACTACAGCTGGTGGACCGCCAAATGCAAGCGAAAACATGTTGAGGTCAGCTTGTAAAAAACTCGTTAATCGAGGGATTGCTCGTTAACCGAAGTTAAGAATCTTATGGAAGGTAAATCGTTAACCGAGGCGCTCGTTAACCGAGGGATCACTGTAGTCTTTTTGTGGACTTGAAATAGATATTTGTGTTGTCTGTGCTATTGTCACATAGCATGGAGCTTCATTGAAAATGTATCATAGGTCTCCATGTTTGTTAGGTGTTGAGTTGAAGTGAGATAGTTCAGGATACAAGTCATTCTTGCCTTTTAAGGTTTCGTAGGACCAACACTGCAGGCACTGCATGGGGCAAACCTGAATCTGGGCTATCCTGGATCTATCCACCATTTCTCCCAATTTTAAGGAATTGCAGCCTGTTTCTGTGTTTTTGCACAAGGGGGGGGCTATGGACCTATTCACTTAACTTGTTAATATTTATACCCCCTCCACCCATGGCCAGGGGCATTAAGTTTATGCCTTTTTCATCCATCCATCTGACTGATTTAAGTTTTTGCATATTGTATGTATTTCAATGTCTTCTGATGGTTTTAAGTTTTAATTTTATTTTTAGTGCCACAAAGGCAAGGCTCACTTGAACTTTAAGAATACCAGTACTTTCCATATGATGTTGATTAAAAATGTGACTATAAGTGTGTTGATTACTGTTTTCAAGTTTTATACTACTGTATTCGAGTTCTTGCCTTGTTCAGCTCAGGATGTTGGCGTTCACCACTGTGCATGCAACTGTGATCCGAGCACTAAGGGGGGCTATGTCTGGTGATGGTGGCCTGAATGAAAAATTTCTAGGTCACTGAATTGGCCAACCATGGTCACCAGACATAACCCCTCTTGATTTTTTTCCTGTGGGGGGTTTGTCGAAGATGTGGTCTGTAGGATCTTAGTCCTCGGATCACAGCTGCATGCACACTGGTGGATGCCAACATGTGGAGCTGAACACGGAGAAAACTTGAGTACCACCTTAATGTCCTGCATGTGGCAAACGGAGTGCACATTGGGTTGTATTGATGGTGTTCACAAAACTTTACGCGTTTTTGTATCTTATAAAACAAACGGTATCATTTTATCATTAGTGGGTACCTAAATTTATAAAGAAACAAAGTTGTCCAGGTCTTTTTGGATCACCCTGTATTATAATGTAGTTACATGTCCAGATGCTTGTATCGTAATAATATATATACTGTATAATTATAGTACCTAGATGATAATGTATAACTTATTCATTTAATTACCAAATGTGGCTCATTCTTGAATGGGGAGTCATTAACATGCCCTGTATGTACTGTAAGTTGAACAAAAGTTAAAGTAGAAGCCTATTTTACTTCTCTTTGAGCTGATCCAATTTTCTTATCCATTTCTAGAGTGAAGATAGAGAAAGATGGCGCGGGTGTATGTTGGAGGACTGCATTATAATTGTAGGGAGAGAGATTTGGAAAGGTTCTTCAAGAGATATGGCAGACTTCGTGACTGTTTGATAAAGAATGGTTATGGATTTGTGGTAAGTGACTTTAATCTTTAGTTATAAAATTCCTTCATTTACTTTAACCATAGTGTTGTTAGCTCACATACAGTATACAGTACATATACACACAGGCATCCCCCGTGTTACAAAAATTTGCTTGTGTGGATTTCGTAATGCCTTTGTTTACCAGCAAGCATGCCAGTCTTGTTTTTATATGTAACTTTTATAATGTGTCTTTCTGCCAAAACATTTTCCCTGGTAATGTGTCTCCAATTCCATGAGGTTTCAATGGAAAAATTGATTTCATATTAAGGACAATTTTTCAAGAAAGTTTTCTTTATTTAACTCAGAATGACTGACAGGTATGAAAATACTGCAGGTGTGGGTGGGTGTGGACGTGGAACTGCAGATGTGGGATGAATTTGGGTACCTGTGAAGCCGTCTGGTGCTTATCTAATATACTATAGGACTAGCCGTGTGTCTGTCTGTCTGTCTATTCTGGGCAGCCGAAACGGCACAATCGTTTTTCATCAAACTTGGTGGAAATATCGCAAAAAATTCGTAGAGTGGAACAAACCTGGTCCCATGTCGATGGTTTCTTTAGGAAGGCATTAATTAACCATTTTATTTACGATGGAAAACGATGCAAGTCTACGGACTTGTTGCACCCTCATTCGCTGCGCTAGCCAAGCACGAGCGTTCAAACTTTCACTGGGCACGAAGGTGCCCGCGATCACTTGTACTGTACTATATACTGTTGTCCTGTGACACTTACTTTCAACAAGATGCCAAATCTGGTTTTGCCCTTGTTGTTTCACAAAAGTCAGTGTCACATCCTCCATCAGAAATCTACCTAATAGGTGTGCACCACTGAAGTGAATGTTTGTTGGTCCCAAAACATATCTGACTAAGTTCCTGCTTTGACTATTCAGCCACAGATTTGCTAGAACAGTTCAGTTTATCTATGATGTATGGTGTTACTTAAATTATTTGATTCTCATTATTTTTCAGTTCATCTATAAACAGAACTTAGATTCTTATATGATTTCAATTTCCAGCTCATGAATTTCAGATGACAGACAAGTGGCACTTTTACAGCTTTGAAGGATGGATGAGTTGGTTCACAGAGCTGTATTTTATAAAATGTGCCTGTACTAAATTTTGTGCGAGCGACATTAGTGAAATGAAATGGTGTGGGGAAATTCGGGTTACTTATATAAATTGAAAATATTATGTTTTGAGATTTACAATAAAGCCTATGGTATTTTGAGGTCCACTACAGTCCTGGAGTCCTTTCTGTAAGGTCTGGAACTCATCACTGTACCCCCTTGTTGAGATAACTTAGCTTCCCACTCTCAAGTGTGATTTTTTTCACTTTGAATTTTGGGATTCTACTAATGGGTATAATATGTATGATTTAATTTTTTAGCTGTTCTTACTGTAAGGTTATTTTCATTTCCAGGAGTTTGAGGATGAACGAGATGCCGATGATGCAGTATATGAAATGAATGGCCGCGAACTTCTTGGTGAGAGGTATTATGCAATGACTTTCATGTTTGGAGACTTAAGCAGGGTGGTCTTCTTATTGATGTTGCAGTCTTAGGTTTATATTAGTTGTAAAATATTCTGTTTTAACATGTTTTTTTTTTTATGATGTGTCACTGGATTCAGAACTTGATTACTGTCCTAAGGGTCACTTGTTTGCTCAGGGGTCTTTTTCAGTCCACCCAAATGTTAATGAGTACCATACGTAACAGCTGGTGGAAGTGGGCACAGTATCTAACTTTACAATTGGCTGAAGTGGGGGTGGTCAGGTGTAGTATTGTCTACACAGCCGCCTTTTGTACTGAAGGCTGAATATAGTTTGTGTTGTATCTACACAGTCCCCAACAGGTTGTCAGGCATATGGGACCCACTTTTACTATTCATTGAAATAAGGTACAGAACACACAATACGTCTTGATTTTGAATTTTGTCCATATAAGTTTATCACTTGAGTAGCTAGTACAGTATGTCGATAGTTGCAAGCATTTTCTATTTATTTTATCATATAAGTGCAGGAAACATCTGATTTTTTACCTTAATATTAGTGCTGTAGTAGTAGGTAATGCTTTCTTTTTTTTTATCCCATCTGCTGCACAGAGTTACAGTAGAACATGCCCGAGGATTGCCAAGAAGAGGAGGATATTCGGGGTTTGGTGGTCGGGACCGTGATCGAGAGCGGCGGCCTGCTTGGCTCGACAGGTAAGATAAAATTTTGTTACAGTTGGGTGAAGAATATATGGTAGTGATAAACCTCTTAGGCTAGATGTACCCTGAATGTGAATATGTGGTTTACATGTAAGAAGAAGAGTCAATTTGGAAGCTTTGGAAATGATGTGGTTGAGAACAGTGCTTGGTGTGATTAGGATGAAAAATTAGAAAACACTGAATTTTGTAAGAGGGTGTGGAAGTGAAAATTGTCAGTCTTAGCTGACTGGCATTACCAAGATGGTGTGGACATTGAGGGAATTGGAAGGAAAACATACATGATATAGATGTGGATGATCTAAAAGGGAGAGCAGGTGGTGATGGAAGGATGTGATCTGGGGGGGTAGCCCTCTAGAAGGGAGGGATAGATATCTAGAAGGCAGTGATCTAGATCTACATGCATGTGTGTGGGAAGAAGAGAGAAAGAGTGCTGAGTAAATTCGATTTTTATGGTGATGGTTGTCCTGGGTTGTATGGATTGATACACACACCAGTTTGATATTTTGGGACCTTGTTATAGGGGAACATTATTGCAGAATGCATACTGTAGTGAGAGGAACAGTTGAAGGGAGAGTCAGTGTTGCTTCTGGTTCCTGCCACCCTGCACATTATTGTAGCAGGAAGGATTTGCAAGGATGAAAAACAAAAATTGCATTTAAATAACGATGTTTCTTATGGTGTTGACCCAGAATTGATGGATAGTCACTGTTAACCACAAAACTATTAATTATAGAATTTATATACAAGGCTTCTTCTTTGCTTGCATTTTTAAATTATCAGCCCCCCCTCTCTCTCTCTCTCTTCATTCATCTCCACAACTTCATATCTTCTTACCAAATTAAATGAAACTTTTCCTTTCCAAACATAGTTTTTTCTTTCTTTGCCCAGTCTAGTGATCTGTTTCTCACTGTTTCTGTTTTTATGGTCTTGGTCAGTAATTTTTTATATAATTAATATATGTTTAAAATAAGCATATTGTTTTATAATAGTCCTGCAATTCAGACACCTGTGGCAATTGGAGAACTGAATGTTGTATGGTAGAAGGTGCTAACAGTGTGGAGTTGGGGGGAGGATGAAAGTGTGAATGATGTAATTATTGTATGGGTGGTAGATGTGCATGGGTGTTGGTATATGGAGTGGTTAGTATGCTAATGCTTGGGTATTATGCTTTGAATTTGGGAAACCATTTATTGACTTTGGGTATGCAAATTAATTTATTTGTAGAATTGTTTTAATTTCATGAAATTTTGGCTGGGCATTTTTTGAGTATCTGATTTAGCTTCTCTATAAGTTATAATACAACATAGCCATCTACTGGGGTCCATAGGGTTCCATTTTTTGAGACATAAAGCTTTCTTTCTCTTATAGATGTATTTTATTTCAGAAAAGACAAAAGGTAAGATTGGAAAACTGTGTGTGAGGGATGTGCGTTGAATGTGTGGAGATATGCAGTGACAGTGATGTTTGGCAAATGTTTGACAGGAATCTCCCATATAGCTACATAAAAGGTAAATAGATTAACGAAATAAAAATGCTTTTTTATTGTGTTATAAAGCCATACTATTTACGATTTTTCGGGCTGAGCTTTTAAACTAACTGACTTTCACCGCAGGTATGGCCCCCCAACTAGGACACCTTACAGGGTCATTGTGGAAAACCTGTCATCACGCATCAGTTGGCAGGTGGGTCTATATAATAGAGTGTTATCCCCAGCTGCCAAACACCAGCCTTGGGTCTCACACTATCTCCTGCCCTGCCCATTTGGGGATGAAGTTGGGGTTGATGGTATTAGCTGATAGATGTAAGTGAAGACGATATTATTTGTGTGTCGAGTTGCAGATCAAGCACATGAAGAAAGTATTGAAGAGTGATTTGAAGGGAGCAAAAGTAAATGTGGAGCAGATAAAGAAGTGTAGCTGCCATCCTCTTCCATTGTGAACTTCCTCTGGTGGGACCTGTATTAGGACTCTGCCTTGATGTTTATACTGTATTTATATAGGTCGATATATTTTGGGTGCATTCATATCTCGTTGGTAAATTTGTGTTATTACTTATCAATAAAATCCATTCAAATCTGTTATCAAGAAGATCTCAGTAATGGAACTTTTACAGTACAGTAGTTATGTTTTTCCCCAAGGAGCTTTTTAAAATTCTTGAAAAGTAAAGGACAAGACTAAAGCTAATTTACGTAAAGATATCCAGGTATTACATTTTTTATTTTGAATAGACAATACTGTACATTGTACTGCGGCAAGCTCTATCCTGCTGTGCTACAGCAGGCAGGTAACGAGCTGCACACTCCCTTATTTTGTTGTCAGTCAGTTTTTCTAACCACTGTAACAGGTGTATTCTGCTATGGTGTTCCCTTTCCACAATGCAGCCCCAAGATTTCCATCTTGTTAACTTTTGTCAGTCATTACTCAACATCATATATCATTAGCTCCTCCCTAAATCACTAAACCATGCTCTTTGAATATGTATACACACCTCTTTTTCCTCGATATCCTTCTCCACCAATTCCTCTGTCTTGTTTGTATCCTCGTACTATCCATTTTTTAAAGTAATAATTTGCTTGTTCCTTCGGTATCCAAGACACTCGAGGAAACCCTAGTTTACTCTGTCTGACACTATTTTGATTTCCAGAAAAAATATTATGGTTAATTTTCTTTGCAGCCTAAGCACCCCATATATTCTCAAACATTATTTCCTTGCATATACTGTACAGTGTACAATTTTTCTTCCCTTTGCACCCAGCTATATGTAAAAATATTTTCTGCCCAACTGTTCCCCAATACATCCCCATCTATGCCTCCCTTAATTTAATACTTTATGCATGCTATTACTTTCTTTTCTTCAGCTACTGTGTATATCTTACTGGACAAAGTTTAAAAAATAAAGTCATCTTTCAGCAACTATACAGTACAGTATAAGGTGAATGTGGAGGCAGAGAAAATGTGCTTATGGTACATTGTAAGAAGAAAAAATGCTAATGAAGCATTCTTGACTCATTTCTCTTTGTAACTGTTTTATAGAAGTTAATAGTGTCATGTGGGAAACCTTTTCATGGCAGACTTTTTCAATGATAATTTTTTCCATCTTCACCTACATATAGTCATTGTTTGATGAACATTTACACAGACCACTAGGATACACTCGATAAGTTCACACTAATCCTTGAACTAAATATATATATATATATATATATATATATATATATATATATATATATATATATATATATATTATATATATATATATATATATATATATATATATATATATATATATATATATATATATATATATATATATATATATATATAATATATATATTATATTTGTTCCCCTTTATGTGTTTATTTCAAATGTTTCTACAGTACAGTACTTAATGCATGGTGACTGGAAATGAGCAAACACAATCACAATTTCTCCTTTCATTGTTATCTATTTATTTTTCCTGCCTTAGGGGATTGCTTAATTTTTGTACTCTCCTTTCACAACATGGCCCTAAATTTGGATTACCTCAGTCTTCATACAAGTCCGCATTACCCTCTTACATTTAGTGCATCCCTTAGGTGATCTTTTCATCTCCTTCCTAGCATCCATCTCTGTATTACACACTTCACCAATCTCACTTTCCGTTCTTGCTAAATGTTCATCCCACCTCTGAACTGACCTTTATCCACTCAGCCCTCAGCCCAACAGTTTTTTTATTTGGACTTTCCCATATGTCTTCTTTTTTGATTCTCTGCATTACAGTACATTGTATATTCACCAAATCTTCACCTCTGCTTTCACTCCTATTGTGACCCTAATTATGAAAATATTAAACAATCATGATATCATTACACCTTAATATATCCCTGCTTTCACGTGGAACCACTTTTACCCTTCCTGAAAATTTTATCCCTTTTAAAGTTAGGCAGCCAGAAAGAAAATATACCTATACATATATTCCCTTCATTCATATATCTTCTATAGTACAGGTATTGTAGTTGTCTTCCTCAATACAATTCAAAATCTTAGTTTCCCATTCTCACTCCACAGATGCTGGTAAACCCACCAGATTCTCTATATATCAGTTTCTCTGGTAATTCACATACAGTGCACCCCCGAAGATCCGGACTAAAAGGGGGGCCCACCTGTCCGAAAAAGCCAATTGTCCTTATCTTCCAGTGAAGGTACTAAATGTATAAAAATGATAAATAATATAAAAACTCCAAAAATACAGTACCCATTTTAGCAGGAAGTATTTAAGCAGAATCTTTTGTACATATTTTCCTTCTGCACCCTGGTACAGTACTGTACCAGGAAATGTCAGGAATAAATAAAAATAATACCAATAAATATGTTACAAAAAAAAATACTGTATTGTCAAATCAGTAAGTAAAAGCCAATTGAAAGTTTAACACAGTTGCCATTTGCATACACTCCCTGTTTCATCATAACAATGGAGACCAGCTGGGAGGCCAATTCCCTAGCAAATCTCCACACCCCCTAAACTGTGCTCTCCTGCTCCCACACTTAGCCAGCTAACTCATGGGCAAAGAAATGTATACCCTGTATTCCCTTACGTGGTTGCCCTTAGGACAATTATTTCTGACTTTTTTCACAATATTTATGCAGGATGGTGTGTGCATGTAACTGAGTAAAAATAAATGAAGAAAATTACGTAGATCTACCCAAAAATTGAGTTGGAAAAACAACCATAACACCTCACAGCTTGGCCCAGTAGCCTGGTGGCTACAGTGACGAGTCTAACCTGGCTACATTGCCATGGTTAACTACTATTATATATTGGTAAGCACTAATAGTAACCGTAAATCCAGTGAATTATAGCAGGAAGCGAGGAGAGCTACAACTGCAGAGGACGCTCTTAACTAGTGGTCACACACTCCCGTTGCCAGGTGTACCATCGAAATACAGTACATATCTTGTAGCCTAATTTGAAAACGGTAACGGGAACTGATAAACAAATTATACAAACCATGTATATACTTGCGATAACGTAATAAGAAACATTGTATCATTACTAGAGTTAATGAAATAATATGAGCACAAACAACAGTTGACAACTCTGTTTTTTAGGTTTCCCGCCACAGGCACCTGTGTCCTGCGCGTTGACATCTTAGTTACACGGGCCTAAGATGATCTTTGCTCTGTTTTGGGAATGTTTCTTGGGGAGGTTTCTTATCCCCCGGGACCCCCAAATTTTTCCAAATCTTCCAAAATCCGGATTTACCATGTCTGAATCTTCGAGGGTTCACTGTAGTTTCGGGGTTGTTCATCTCTTGAAGTTTTTAATGCATCTATCACCCCATCCTTCCATCTCTTTGGTATTTCTCTCCCCTACATCTTAATTAAACACACTACCATTCCTTCATTTGCCTTTCCTTCAACATGTCCATTCCACCTGAATACTGTATACAGGTATCTTGATCTTCTTGAGCCCAACATTTCTTTCACTTCTGTATCACTTCATTGTTGATGCATTTCTTATTATCTACATCCTCTTTACCCAGCTTAGTGAGTTCTCCCTTTACTAGATTACTTATTGTATGGCCTCTGGTTAACAGAGAATTGTGATTACCTGTTAAAGTTCCTTTAATTGGAAAAAATTCTCAGTAAACGGGATGTTTTCTGGTTGAGTTTTTTTTTTTTTTTTTTTTATATGAATAACACAACTGTCAGAAAATAAAACCCAACACAAGAAAATTATGATTTTGAAATAAGATAAATTCAGTAAAACTTTTTACTCAACACTAAAACTGTACTACCACTAAAATGAACAATTGGGCAGCTTCTTCTACCTACACAAGACACTTGATGAATTACAATATTGGTTTACTGTTGTGTGTCAGTCTTAAGCTGTAGTAATCTCCCTGTTAGCCGGAAGCTTCGATCCATTACCCGAAAATTATATTTATTTTTTGAGTTTTTAGAGAAGAATCTCGGGTTCAGGCATTTGAACGAATTTGAGAGATTGCTTCATGCATTGATATGTGCCGGGCGTGTGGGTGGGTTAGTTGCATGGGGAACTTAGGCTGAAGGCTTGTGTGCTACAATTGGCTACTAATGTCATGTGACTGCATCGGATGTCTATGATTGACTGATCCATCTCCCAGCCTATCTCCTCAAACTTTAGCATCTTGATGCACTTAGTTCAGAGTCTGCTGCCATTGTACAAGCTTGCTCGTTCACTCACTGCTGTTATTGCGTACGATCTGTTGTGCAGAACTGTACCAGGATATAATCAGCCAAGAATACAGTTAAAGAAATGTTAAGATGTAAAAAGTGATTACATCTATGTTAGTGTAAAGATGTGTACAAGGTTAATACAGTTGTGTACTGTATTGTGCAATTTGTGAACTGTACATAGCAGAGTGAACAGTGTATGCCTACTGTACGTGCATCACAAGCTCAAGACAACAGCATATGCTGGGGAGTACAGTATAGTTTGTACAGTAGTACAAGGATGTACTGTAAAAAAAAATTGTCACGTTATGTGCGTACAGTAGTATTTGCATAAATAATTACAGCTCTACAAGACGCATAGGTAGTTTAGACGTGGAAATATTCATGTGTCCAGAAAAATTTCCCAAGGTGCAATTTTTTCCGGGAGAAGGTAATTTGTCTCGATACCCAGAAATATTCTTAACCAGTTGTTCCAGCTAACAGGGAG